ACTCTTGGCATGTCTTGCATGGACCCAGTGTGGCCCCTGCACACCACCTTCCCCGTGGCCACCAGAACAGACTTTCTAGGAAGCATCGACGCCTGGCTAGCCACTATCTTGTGCCCAGAGGACAGGCTTCCCAATAAGGGAGCCAAGGTGGGCAGAGCTGGGGCACCACCCTCCGGTGCAACATGGCGCCCTGCCACAGCTCCAAGGGCACCGGGAGCCACCCCCACCCGGCGGCCACCAGCACCTGGAGCACAGCACAGACAGCGTGTCCGCGCGGGGCCTGCCCTCCAGGAGCACAGCCACAGCCCCTCAGCCCGGCACGGAGGGCAAGGCTGGGCTGCATGGGCACGAGGCGTGTGTGCACCTGCCTGTCGTGCAGCGGGGCCTCCCACCACCCGCCCTGCCCACTCCACATTGGGCCCGGCCTCTCCAGGGCAGGCAAGCCACAGCCTGTCTCTCCAGAGACGGCTGCCCCTGAGGAACAGGCTCCCGTCCCATTGCACCCCGCGCCCCTCACATGCCGCGCAGAGCCGGCGCTCGGTCTGCCTCTGGCCATTGCTGGTTTTGTTCCAAAGCAGTGACACAGTCAGTCCTTGTCAAACCGTTTCCGTCTGAATTCGTACAGTGACCTTCCGAGCGCCGGCCCCGAGCAGGAAGAGAGCCGGTTCCGTAGGGCAAGCTGGAGACGAGCGCGCAGCCCAGGAGGTGGCCGGGCAGAGCCTGGGGACGCAGGCCACCGCCGGCGCTGAGCACTCCCCCCACAGCACGGGCCCCTGAGGTGCTCCTTTTATGGCTCGGCCACTCATACATCGTGCAGGAAGACGGTCCAGCTTGGCTCCCTCCGGCCTTGAGGACGCCGTATTCATCTGGCCACACTGCTAACTGGACAAGCCCCTCACCCGGCGGGACGCACTCTGGCTGGAGATGCAGGAGTCCGCTTCTGACGTCACAGCGCCGCCCTTTTTGCAGGACCCCACTCACGGGGCTCAAGCGGGGCCCCTGGGATCTCTGGTGCAGGAGAGGGAGCCGCAGACCTCAGGACGGGGAGAGGAGCTCCCTCTGGCCTGGGAGGTAGAGAGCACACTGGATGGGCAGGGGAATCCGGGGGGGTCAGGAGAACCCCAGCTGCAAGAGGGGAAGCAAGGAAGCTGCAGGCTGGGCGCCAGGGCAGAGGGGTATACCAGGAACCCCAGCTCCCTCCCTGCTCTGGGGAGATGGTGGGCACCACCCTGGGTCCGCCTGGGCCCTGGTTCCAGCCACTTGGCCTCACTGCTCGGCGTGAAGAGCAGCTTGTGCTGGGCGGCGGTGGCAGGGTCTGTGTGGCGGGCAGCACCCAGAGCAGGCCGGGGTAGTGGGCACGTGTCTACTGCGTGGGGCTCTTGTGTGGGCACACGTGTGCACATCTGTGCACCTGCAAGGCACAGTCAAAGGACGGAGGTGAGCCCACATGGCAGCTAAGGCCAGGCAGGAAGCCTTTGGCCTCGTGTCCCTGGCTAGGAGGCTAAACTTTGCACCCCAGCTCCTGGAAGCCGGCGGGAGCCTGTGTCAGCCAGGCCGCACGAAGAACCACAGCGCAGCCGACTTTGCCCACAGCCCCCACGTTCAGTGGGCGAAGGGAAGCAGCCTGCGCATCTGGGCCCCAGGGCCTGGTCTGGCCCAAGGCCACTGCGCCAGTCACCTTCCAAGAGCCCCCGGAGCAGAGACCCCCCATGCACGGCCACGCACCCTGAGCATAGGTGACCAGGGCGACAGGGTCTCAGTCGGTGGCTCTGCCCTCCAGGCCAGTCGCCTCTGCCACCCAAGGCCGTGGCAGCCCTCAGATTCAACACGCTGCTGCTTGGGAGCACCCGGGACGCGTCCAAGTATAATGGGGGTCCCCAGGAAAAGAGGAGGTTCCAGCTTCCCTGCCCCACCCAAGGGAGGGTGGGGCTGAACAGGGAGGAGAAGCAGCCGGAGAGGCGCCTGGGGGAGGAAGGAAGAGGAGGGAGAGCAAGAAGGGCCTGAGGAGGCACGAGGGGCAGAGAGACGTGAGGGAGCAGCGCTGGCTCCTGGGTCCCGGCCTGGGGGAAGCAGACGGGGTGAGAGACGCGTGGGGAGGTGGCAAAGGCAGCGTTGATCTTGATTTTGCTCTTTCCCTCCCAGACCTGGCTGGCTGTTTCTGACCCTCTTCTGCGGGTCCCTGCCGGAAGGTGCTCTAGACTGAGGCAGCTTTCGGGCCTCGCTCTGGGTGAGCCCTGTTTGCTGGACTTTCACCCACGAGGGGACGGGCAACTCTGGGTGCCAGATTTGGAGACTCTATCCTCCCCTCGTCTGTGCTGCACGATGACTGTACTACAGTTCCTTCCCGCTAAAGGCCTATGTTTTGCCTTGATGCAGCAAATGGTAGACCTATTTAGAGCAAGCAGGCTTTGGGGTTCTGGGGTGCCCTCTAACAGAAGTGCTGTCCCTGGCAGGGGAGGGCGGCCAGGGCGAGTCCCGGGGCTGAGGGGTAGCATGGACGGGGGATGGTCCACTTCAATGCGCCACCGGCACCACGGCACAAGGCCCACGGCCTTCTGAGGGAGGCACGAGGCAGAGTGGGGGGCACGCCCCCTCCCCTAAGGTCACCAGTCCCAGCCGCACCCACCCTCCAGGCAGGGCAGGAGGCGCAGGGCGGCACAAAGCATCACTGCACAGTGCCCTATAAATAGATCCTGAAGAACATTTTAACATAATTTGCTTTCCAGGCACAAAGAACATGTCAATCACCCCCACAACACGATAAAGGCAAGAGTCCCTGTTGACGGCTTTCTGGCCGAGAAGAAAAACAGATTTCACAGTGAGCTAATCCGTCTCTCGCAAAGAGGGGCCACCGAAGCTGGTCTGCGCTCTCGTGAATTCATTCAACAACCACCTGAGTGCCAGCACACGGCACAGTCAGACACGGCCCCCCCTTCACTGCAGCCCGGGCGGTGGGGAGTCTCCCGTGGACTGACAGAGGCCGGGGTCAGCAGTGTGCAGGGCGCAGCACCCACCCGTTGCCTGCACGGGACAGGCCGTGCCAAGGCCTGCTCGGCCTCCACATTGCCACTCGCACGTGGACCACAGGCCAGAGAGTCTGACTCACAGAAAGATCGCTGTGTCCTCAGAGCCAGCGCCAGAGATGCTGAAGAAATGTTCTCCAAATAGGGCCTCCCCGGTGGTGCAGCGGTTGAGCGCTGGGTTGTGAAGCTGCCCGCAGCCTCTGCAGCGTCGGTTCGATCCCCAGCTGCTCCCCGGCCACCGGGCGAGGGTCCCACACGGCGCACAGACCTCTCCTGCCGCCCGCTGCTCCCCTCAGCAGTGTGCTTCGGTCCTTCTGCCTGCTCTGCTCCCCGCTCTGGCTCTGGTGAACCCTCTCACCCTCCCGCGCTTCTGACAGTGGCCAGTGCTTGTGTAAATAAATAAATGATTCTTTAAAAAAAAAAAAAAAAAGAAATGTTCTCCAAATAAATGAATAAATCAATGAGTGTATGGCCGAGTTAATGAGCTACAGAAAAAAATGAATAATTAGACTAAGAAATGGCTGTCACCTTGTTAAAAGTGCCCACTGACCTCAGAAGACTCCAGAAAAGCCTGAGCAGAAAGACCTCGGCCAAGCAAGCCAGGGTGGGGCGCAGCAGCTTCAGGGGCCAGAGTGGTGACTGCACTCCAGGCAGGACGAGACCAAGGGTGCGGTGGCGTCCGGTCAGCAGCCACCAGCACCAGCGCTCGCGGCTGGGCCCCAACGTGTGACACGAGGCGGCAAAAGCAGGGAGCGGGCTCGGGCCCACAGAGGCGCCGGGACTCGCTGGACATGCCCGGGGCAAGGCAGGGCAGAGCTGCTCCTGATCCCCCAGCCCCTCCGCAGCCCCAGCTTCCCGAGCCGGGGTCCTGCGGGGAGGAGAGCAAAGGGGCTGCATGACGATCTCACAAGACCCTTCTCCACAGACCTGGTACCATTCCAAAGAGTTGAACATTCTGGAGAAAAACTATAAACGTGCAGTCCCCAGAGGGAACCCTGTCCCCACTGCGGGGGGGAATGGTGGCACCCCACCCACCGAGAGGCTCAGGGAAAAGGCGCACGTGCACGCACGCACACGCATGTGCACGCACACACACTCGCACACGCTGAGTGAGGAAGCGTGCAGAACGCAGATGTGGTGAGTCCGGTTAAAGGCCGATCGGAACTGCTGGTGTTAACCTTACAGCTGCTCTGTAAATCTGAAATTTTATCAAAATGCAAATTGAACAAAACTATGGATGAACCATCTCTGGGGGAGGCTGGGGAGAGCAAAGGGCCTCCCCGTTCTGTGACTCAGAGGCTGCAAAACGTGCACCAGCAAAACGCAAGTGCGCCTCAGAAGAGTGGCCACGGGGAGGCCCAGCCTGGACCCGGCCGCCCTGGGCTCCCAGCCGTGCGCCTCACGCGCCACCTGCTGGCCGAGCGGGGCCCCGTGCTTGGCCCAGGCCTCCCCTCCAGAGCAGGCCCCGGCCCAGGGCCCCAGGACCTGGCCGCGTCCACCCTCCTGAGCCCTCAGCAGCCAACAAAAGGCCGGCACGGAGGGGCCCAGACCAAGGTGAGGCGGGACTGGGTGAACGGGGGCCGCGGAGGGTGTCCCTCAGCACCAGGCCCAGAGGAGCGCGGGTGTCCCAGTGCTCCACACCAGCCGGCCAGCCAGGCAGGAAGGCCCCGAGGTCGGCGTGAGGTCACGGGTCCCAGCCCCGGGACCACCAGGGAGCAAGGACACCCGGGCAGCCCCGAGGGGCTTGCCGAAGGGCACGAGACTGCCAGAGGGCACACGTGGGATTCAGGAGCGACAGAGCGGACAGCTGGGCAGGCGGCTCCGAGGGGGTGACCGCACCAGCGCCTCTGGCAGCGACCGTAATGACGAGCGGGCCGGTCCCAGCAAGCCACTGGGCAGCGCGAGGGTGGAGGCCGAGTCGAGAACAGGTCTCTCCTGGACACCAGACGGCCACGCGCGCCCTGCCCCGGGACTCACCGAGGTCCGTGTTGGGGCCAGCAAGCAGCTGCCTGAACTTGTCCAGCCGAGAGGCCACTCTCTCGCTCGCTGCTGAGCTGCTGCCGGCGCTGGGGTCGGACGGCCCTCCCAGGGCAACGGTGGCCGAGTGCGGGAGCGACTGGGACCTGTGCAGCGGGGCGGCGCCATGGGCGCTCTCTGTGGGAGAACAGAGGGTGAAGCCCTGACCACGGCCCCGCTCAGCCTGCTCCCGTGGGCACCCTCCCGGGCACTTGGGCCTGACTATGGGCAAAGGGGTGACACCGGCCACTGCTGCAGGCTGGGCAGTTTCTTGCCTAGTGAGACAGGCAGGCCCATGGGAGCAGGCTGTAGCGACCCCAGTCCCCGTGGGGTGGGTGTCCTCAGGCCCTCGGGCGTTGGGAGGGGAGGGCGTGCGGCGCTGGGTCCCCCGGGGCGGAAGGTGGAGGGGTCCACCGAGGCGGGTGAGAGGTGAAGCGGGTCTGAACCTCCAGCTCTCCCGGGGTCCCGTGAGGGGGAGCTCGCAGCCGCCTGAGCCCCAGGACTCAAAGGAAGCCAGAGGCCGGCAGAGAGATGGCCCACGCCCGCCGCGACAGCCCGCCCACCTGCGGGACAGGTCGCGTGGATCTCGCTGACCGACTTCACCAGCCGCAGGTCCCCACTCGGGGCGGCAGGGGGTTCTGCCGGGGGCGTGGGCTCCAGCGCGGGCTCAGGCAAGGGCTCCGGCTCAGGGGCCCCCTGCAGCCGCTGCTCCTGCCGCTGGCTGTGGTTGCGCAGGACGCGGTGGGCCGTCTCCATGACCACCTCACTGTTAAGGCTCTCGGTCGCCATGGCCAGGAGCTCGTCGTCATCCTCGCCCACGTCCCAGGCATCGCTGGTGTTGCTCTCGAACTCCTGGAAGGTGCTGACTCTCTTGGCCTTGACCGGCGTGGCGGGAGCCTTGGGCGGGGCCCTGAGCAGCCTGCAGGCAGAGGCAGCTGTGACTCGGGAGGCCAGGCAGGCCGTGCGCACCCCAGTCAGTCAACGCCAAAGCCTGAAGACGTAGCCGCTATGAACCCCCCTCCTGAGCAGGCCTGAAGACGCGCACCGGCGTCCGCACGGGAGCGACGCGCGTGAGGACCAGCGGCGGCAGGTGCGTCCCCAGGGACCCCCCTCGTTCTGCCTAGGGCCAGGACACCAAGTTCCCCCACAGCTGGCTGGGAAATACAGCCCGGGAGGACGAGTCACCACACTGGGCCCCCAGGGTCCACTTGCCCGTCCAAAGATGCATCCCGAGGGCCGCACGGCGCTCGCTGGCCTGGCGGAGGGGCCAGACACGGGGAGAGTGCAGCAGAGGCGAGGGAGGCAGACCAGGTGACCTTAGCAGGCCCCAGGGCCGCCGGCTTGGGGTGACCTGCTCTCCGCTCAGGCTCCCCGCCAGCTGGGGCGGCCCGTCCACTGACAAGTGTGGAACGAAAGGGCCCCCCCCCACACAAGAAGCCCAGGGAGCTGGGGTCACCTCAGCCCGCCCCCAGCCCAGCTTGAGCAGCCGGGAGCACGCCGAGGCCTCACTTACGTGCCATGCAGCAGCGGATCAAAGGGGGGGTGCTGGGCGCCATACACGTGCTGGATGCTGTGGAGAAAGGGAAGACGAGTCACGCTGTGGTCAGCTTCCCCGCAGGCCCACTGCTGGGAAAGGCCCCAGTCCCTCAGGCGACTGGGGAGCGGCCCTCCGTCGGGGGCCACAGCCGCTGCCACCAAGCCGGGGTCCCGAGACCCATGTGGAGGGGGCGAATGGCACCCCAAGGCGGTTCAGCCCTTCCTGCGAGGGCCCAGGCGCCTCCACAGAGCGCAGGCACGCCCGCCGGGGCCACTCCGCGCCACCGCAGCTCACCCCGCGTGCGGACGGCCGGCCACGGGCAGGACTGGAAACGACAAAAGCGAAAGGTCTGCCCCGACTGCCCCCGAGCCACACATCTGAGGACGGAACGAAGACACGACTCCTAGAGGCTGCGGGGGGCTGCCCTGGACGTCCACGCGCCGGCACGTCCGGGCCAGTGGCGTGTCCGCCAAGCGGCTGCTCTGCCCTCGCCCTCCTCGCGGCGGACGTGGGGCCGAGACGGCGCGCCGGGAGCCGCGAAGGCGCCGGGCCCGGCAGGGGCAGGCCGCGAGTCCGCGAGCAGGAGGCGCGCCGGCAAAGCCCGGGTGCAGACTGAAAGAGCAGGGCCACCGGAGCGCCGCGAGGGGCCCGGCGCAGCCTCGCCGGGAAGGGGGACTCCTGCGGATCCTGGGGCCTCTCAGCTTGAGCTCGGAGCCTCGACCCCGAGCCCGCTCCGAAGACAAGGCTGACGGCACACACAGGACCAGCGCGTGTCTGGTTTTGACGAAAGGGTCGGCAACAGCGGGCGGGCACAGCCGTGAGCGAAACGGGGACGAGCGCGCAAAGCCTCAGAGGAAACGCACCCTCGGCGGCGTCCTCGGCGGCACAGAGACGTGAAGCAGCACGTCGCCGCGCGGACGACAGCGCCCCATCCCGGCTGTGTGACGTCACAGGCGGCGGCGCCGTGCACAGCCCCCGCCGTCCTCCCGGAGCGACGCCGCAGGACGCCCCCTCGCGCTCAGGGCCGTTTTCTGAACCAGAACTAGGCCGGTGACTGACCGCCCGGCCACTGGCCTCGACCTGACACATACGGGCGCGCCCAGATGTGCAAATAAGTTTCCCCAGCAACTCAGAGGCCTCCGGAGAAGGAATGAACGCTTCTACTGTGCCCTCCGCCACCGCCTCACCCCGCCCGCCCCGTCAGCGGCTCTCTCGCCACCCACCCGAAGAAGTGCCCAAAGGCAAGACGAGCTTTAAGGAGTGGCCTGGCCCACGCCGCCTGGACGCAGCCCACCCCCCACTGCACGGAGATCAGGCCCTGGCAGGTCCACGGAGGCGCCTGTACCAGGCCCCCTCGGGCTCACCCTTGCACCCCCGGGCTGGCCTGCTGACAGGGTGCACCCGCGATTCAAACGCAGCTACCCTCCCTGCCACTCCTCTCGCGCAGACAGCTGAGCAACGGGCCTTTGAACTCAGGAGTCAGGTTCCAGAGGCGGACACGCCTCTCCCGTCCAGATGCAGGAGCCGACGGCCTCTCCCTGGCCTCGCCGGGCCAGGCTGGCAGAGCTGGCTGTGACATCACGCTTGGCTGACACAGGCAACGCCAGTGCGCAAGTGGCTGGTCCTGGGACAGAAAACCAGCCCAGACCGAGACCAGCTCCAAAGGGAAGACACAACGGCTGCCGAGGCCAACGAGCCCTCCCACCGTCCCGGGCAAGGCAGGTCCTGCCCACCAAGCGCCAGGCAGCACCACCCACCAAGCTGAGAGGCGACCACACAGCGCCAGGGGCCCGAGAAGGGGCGGCCTGTGGGCTCTCCCTCCGCCTGGTGAAGCCGGTCCCGACGACCCGACAGGAGGGAAGCACCGGCCTGGGCTCGCTATAGCTGCAGAACGGCCTGCTCTCCTCACCCCGCCGGCCAGAGCCCCCCCCACCGGCCTCACCACCTGCAAACGTGCTCACATGGGAAAGCGAGGCGGGTGGCGGGGTGCTCTCCAGGGCTGCCGTGTCTCCAAGGACTGCAGGAACGTGGAGGGACCATGCCTGCCTCGCCACACTGGTCACACCCACATCCTCGGCCCTGACCAGCGGCTGAGGCTTTCGGCGGCGGTCCAGAGCCCACCCACAAGACAGGAATGGGCATCCCTTGTCACGCCTGCGCTAAGCCCAGAGGCAGCAAGCCTCGCCGCGGCTGCAGACTGCAGAGATGTTTCCAGAGAGTAGGCGCGGGTCAGAACCTGCATCACGGCGCAGGAGAGAGCCGGGCCCAGCCAGGGCTGACCGTGGAGGTCAGACCCAGCAAAGTCAAGCCCAAGCGCCGTCTAGCCAGAAGGCAGGTGGTGGGCAGTGACCATGCCAGCCCGGCCGGGACCCATGCCAAGGCAGGCCAGACCCTGGCAGCGCCGGTGTACGCCAGACCTGGGAGGCGGGAGGCGGGCCCGAGGGTGAGCTAGAGCTAAGCGGGCCTGCCGTGGGCCAGACACTCGCGCGGGGCTGTGGTTTTGGGCAGGGGCCTGGGCCGCGCTGCTGCTGCTGAGAAGCCGCCCCGGGAGGCATCCACAGAGCTGGCATGGGCAGGCCCGCACCCCCAGGTGGGAAGGGCATCCATGCTGTGGGCCTGCCAAAGCCCCTGGCGCTGCAGGCACCTCCCCACCAGAGCGCTCAGGCTGGAGTTTCCACGTGAGCCCCTAGGAGGAGGAAATTAGGAGCAAACCAGCTGGATACTCAGAAGTCCCGCAAAGCACAGGGCCCTGGAAGTGGGACAGGCCCGGCTGCCCTGTCCCCGGGGCCCGAGTCCTCTGTGGGGAGGGAACGCCGGGGTGAACCCAGGAGAAGCGCCTCGTCTCACCTAGGAAGTCCCAGGACACAGGATCAGGGGCACAGCGCTGCAGTCCCCCACCCCGGCTGCAGTCCCCCACCCCGGCCCGGCAGGCGGCCCGAGCTGCACGAGCCCAGGCCCGGCCCGGGGGGTGTGCACCACTGGGCCGCACCTCGGCTCGGCGTAAGCCCCCGTCTGTGAAGGCGGCCACGTGGCACCCAGGCGCCGTGCAGACTGAGCGGGTGGATGCCCGCGAAGAGCCAGGCGCAGGGGAGACAGGACACCGTGGCGAGGATGTCACCACGAGGCCTGCGCCACCTCAATTCTGGGGTGCAGCACGAACACTTACCCTGGACCCCCACTCACAGCCCTCCCCAAATCCCTGGACCCCCGAGAGAACCACGGGGCTATAGGGGTCGGCGCGCCCGGGGCCGAGCCTGGTGGCGGGGCCCTCCCCACCCTGTCTACAGGACCCTGGGTACCTCCAAGTGCGGAGCAGGTTCTGCGTCCCTGCTGCACCCCAAAGGGCTGCACAGGGCCAGCCCCCACACCACCCGGGTGGACCCAGGAGCGGACGCCGAGCGGCAGCCAGGGCACAGCAGAGCCGGCCCACCAGGGGTCACCGCCTCGTCCCAGCTCGTGCAGGCCGGGCCGGGCCCTGGCACTTCGGAAGGGGCGCGGGCTCCCGGGGCGGCCCCTCAGCTCCCCCGCGGGCTCCGCCCTCGCCCTCAGAGCCCGGGAGGCGGGCGCACCGGCCGCTCCCACTGTGCAGAGCAGCCTTCCGGGGAGCCGCGTCGCTGCCTCCGCCCCCATTTAGAGTTAGCCCGGCAGAGTCCAGACCCGCGGCGCCGACAGACCCGTGAGACGGAAAATGTGACTTTTAATTTTATTTTATTTTAAAATAAAGTAGCTTATTTTAGAAAGTCTCCAGGCACAGCGAAGGGCACTTAACAACGTGAGGAAACCGAGCCCGCAGTGACGGCCGCGGGCACAGCACGACCGTGTCCCCGACACGGCCCCCCACAAACCCAAGTCAGCGCAGGAGCACTCCTGGGCCCCCCGGGACGCGGAAAAGCGGAAGGGCCGACACCGACTCTCACCCCACTGAACAACAAAACCCGCGCGAGGAGGCAGGCGAGGCTCGGGGACGCCCGCGCGTGGGGCGACAGCCGGCCCTGCGGACGCTGGGCCCTCAGTCCAGCCCAGTCCCTGGGGACGGCAGGCACCTGGCAGAGGTGACGGTGAGGGGCGGCCCACCTGCGGAGACGCAGGAGGCCCGGCCAGGGGCAGGCTGCAGCCCTCCCCTCGGACGGGCCTGGGGGCGCCGCAGAGCAGCGAGCGCAGACTGAGCAGCGCGTGTGCGCACACACGCACACACACACACGCACACACACAACCAAGTCTTTGTCTTAAAGCCGTGGGTCAGGAGCCTGGCTGGGCGGCGGGCTGGAGTCCAGGTGTGGCCAGCTGCGCTATTTCCGGAGGCCATTCTGAGGAGGCCGCACTTCCTGCTCACGCGGGCGTCAGCGGAAGTTTCTGGTCATTGTGGGACCAAGATCCCTGTACACAGGTCAGCTTCCGGGTGTCCCTGGTCCCCAGCGGGGTCCCACCTCCATCCTGGAAGCCACCGTCAGAGGGGTCCACCTCACGCCGACTCTCTGAGCGCTTCTAAGTGCTCACAGGGTGACACAGCCACCAGCCGAGCTGGGACAGCCTCTCCAGGGCAGCTGGCCGGCCCTTAGTCCAGCTGCAACCTAACCCCGCTTCCTCACAGGTCCTGAGGCTTACAGGTCACAGGGGCCCCAGGACACGAACACTGCAGGGCCATGACTCTGCCTCCCGCACCCCATCCCTCAAGCCAGCCCCTGGTGACCACCTGGCACAGGTGAGGCCCACCAGTTCCCAGAGCCCAGCCCCACAGCCCCAGCTGCCTCACCTCCGCCCTCCCATGCCCCCCACCCCCAGCACAGAGGATGGGCAGGACCAGGGGATTACCCCACAGGACCCTGAAGACCCAGTCTCTGCGGCCTCTTGAGTCCGGCTTGCACCTCCCAGAGCCTCCCAGACACTCCCTGGCCTGCCACCTGCCCCAGCCCGCCCGGCCCACCTGTGTTCCACAACGCACGCCTGGCTCCGCCGCGGGCCCTGGCGCCTCGCTCCTAAAGGAACGACCGTCCCCTCACTCCCATCATCAGCTGATGGCAGAGGGCGGCCCTCCGAGTCCACGGGAGGGGGGGCTGCCCCGGCAGCCCTGCCAGCTGGAAGCTGAGGGCTGTGGCGACACGGGGACTGGCCTCTGGCCAGCTGGCCCCCACACCCCAGCCTCGCCACATTCAAACCGGGCCTCTCTGGCCGCTGTCCCACCTACAAACTCTTCCCACACCTGGCTGCGGCCGCCCCCAGGTAAAGCTGCGCCCAAAGGCCCGCGTCCTCACACCCCGTGGGCGAGGGCTCCAGCTGGGCCCTGAAAGGGGCGTGTGGCAAGAACACTAGCGCAGCCGCAGTAGCCGCAGCAGCCACAGCCCTCGGGAGCCGGCCGTCCACACAGGAGCCAGCCCTCTCCTGGCCCTCGCCATCCTGTCGTCTCCGTGACACGCCCAAAATCCAGCGGCTTCTCGCCACACTGGTGCAGGCCACCAGGCCCTCACAACCTCCTAGCAGGCCTTGGGGGCGCTGCCCCTGGGCCTGCCGAGCCTGGAGCCAAGGCTCACCAGCTAAACACCAACGTGTGACCGCCGACCACCCCAGGAAGGTCACATACAGGCTGACTGGAAAAAGGCCATCCTGTGAGCTCCCCAGCCGCCCCAAGCAGCAGCACGGCCGAGACAAGACCCCAGGAGGCCAGGGCACTCGAAGCAGCAATGCAAGTCTGTCTGGTGGCCTGACCCCTCTCTTTGCCCCACCGCCTTCAGGAACGGCCTCGAGCAGGTCTCCAAGACTCCACTCAAACCCTTACCCACAACCTAGGAGTTGCTCTCAAAACACCTAAGACACAGCACATGGTCAAAAGCAAAGGGAAAACAAAGCCTGTCTCTGCGGACGCGGGCTCTCAGAGAACAGTCAAGGCCAGTATGAGTTCCCTGTGGCTGTGGTAACAAATGGCCACAAACCTAACGGCTAAAAATAAGAGAATTTACCCTCCCTCGGCTCTGGGAGCCAGAAGTCCAAAATCAAGGTGCTGGCAGCCCATGCTCCTCCTGGAGTCTCCAGGGAGAGCCCCTCTTGGCCCTCTAGCTTCTACTCCCGGGGCGCCATAGCCATCCTCTATACCTTGCCCATACCCTGCTCCAATGACGGGCCCTGTCGTCACGTGCCATCTCCCGTCTGCCTCACCACCCACATTTCACTCTTCTAAGATCCCCAGTTGCTGGACTCGAGCCCCCAACTCAAGTACAACCTCCCTCACCATGAGCCCCCGGCTGACCACATCTTGCAAAGACCCTAGTTCCCAACAAGATCATAAATGTCCAGGCAGAAGTGAATGGGGGGAACACATCACCCCAAAGCAGTCGCCAACCCGAAGTTCAGTCCACTGTACGTCACACGGCGGCTCAAGTCTTCCATCTCAGCTACTTGTTCAAAATGAAAGTTTATCTAGACAGAGGAGGCACCAAAACCCCAAAATCTGAATGCAACACACAGAATCTCTACCGCCATGTGTGCCTATGCTGGGGGCACCTGCTGCTGTCCCCACTAGGACCTCCTATCTTGGCTGTTCCCGAGCTGTCACATCTTCTTGGACCACGGCAGGGGTTTTGACATTGGTTTTGATGAAAGCATCCATCGTCCCTCATTCACAATCCTGCGGAGTAAAGGGGGACCTTTGGAGGCCCCCTCCAGTCTCAAAGTCACCTACTAACTCCCGGACCACTCAGAAAATTAAAGGTTTCTGTTTTGACGCAACGAGATCCAAAGCGTGAGAGTCTACCATTCAAGCGAGGCTGTTTATCAAGCAATACTTAGGAATTCACGGGGTTTATGAATGATTCTCCTCGAAGTCACTGCAGTTACAGCAATTCTTCATTCTCAGCACTGCACACTTCAGTTTATAACACTGCGTTTAGAAATCCTGGAACTTGTTTATCACTGATCTACTTTCACCAGCGCTGATTTTATCCTCCGTGTTTTCCTTCTGACGCCTCCTTGTCCCCTGTGGCCTGGTCAGGGTTCTGCAGTGCCAATCAGATGAGGACTTTGGAGCTGTAAAGCTTGCAGGGTCATTGCAAGCATTTAACTTAAAAAAAAAAAAAAGTAACTTGTTTCCTGCTGCTTACTCGAGATAGGAGTTGGCTTTGAGGACGGAAAGTGGCAACTCACAAGAGCCTCAAATCCTTCCCCTGCCTCGAGGCAAGAGCTGCGGCCGCGAAGAACAAGACGGCGAATCAAGTGGGCCGGAGCCGCCACACCCCCTCCGGGAAGCCGACTCCCCGCCGCTCGCTCCCCCCCAACTCCTGACCCCACGGAACCCCCGACGCGCGACTCGGCCAGACGCCCCCCGCGTCCCCAGGGAGCCCGGGGCGCAGTGGACCCGCGGGGTCGGCACAGCCCTGCCGGGCTGCTCCTCCCGCCCGGGCCCCGCGGCCGGCCGGCCACCCCCGCCCCCGACGCCTCTCCCCCCCCCCCCGGCCCGCAGCCTCCTCCGCGCCCCGGCTCGCCCCCCGGACCCCGACGCCACCCCCCGCCCGCGGGGCGACGCGCCCCCCTGACCTCCGACCCCTGACCCCGGCCTGGCCCTCCCCGGCACACCCACCTGCCCGGGACCTTGCTGTTGCTGCGCTTCCAGAACTGCTTCCTGGCCCCGTCGCTGGCCATGGCCCCTCTTCATCCCTCAGGCCCGCGGCCCCGGCGCCCCAGTGCGGCCGGCCGGCCCCGGCGGCGCTCTCCGTGCCCCGGGCGGCCCCTCAGCGGTCCCGGGACTCCCGAGCGCACAGCCCAGAGGCGCTTCCGCCTCCCTCCGGAAGTTGTGCCTCCGCGCGCCCGGAAGTCCCGCCTCCGACCCAGGCGCGCGTGGCGCAGGGCGCGGGCGTGACGACATGAGCGCGCGACGGGGCGCGCTGGGCGGGGCGGCGGGGGCGGGGCGGCGGGGCGCCGGTGTGGGCGGGACACCGGGGAGGCCCCCCAGAACCCGGTGCTCAGCCCGCCTCCTGCCGAGGCCCCCTGTGTGGTGCGGGGGGAGAAGACAGCGGGTTTCGGAGACTTCATGCTGGGCGACCCAGGGGTAACCTGGGGACCCCCAAAACGTGCACCGGTAAAATGGGGTCCTGCACCCCAGCACAAAGGCAAGCAGACTCCTAGTATTAATATGAAGGAACTTTAATAGAAATGACGTGCAGAGAGAGGGAGGGAGAGAGGATATTTTTCCCAGTAAATCACCCAAAGCCGCCCATGCCGTCGTGGCCCCCCCAACATTTAGGGGGCGCCAAGCAGCCGCTGGGGCCTGGAAACTGACGCCAGGCTAGGGCACTTTCTGGCCGGGAAACACTGAAGGAGGCGGCCAGGCAAGCCTGGGGGGGAGAGCAAAATCAGACACGTGAAGATAACTGCCGCCAGCCGTCGCCCCCGCCCCGCCGCCCGGGCCCTGCAGGACCAGGGGCTGCCCCCGCCCTGCTCTGGGCCTTCCCCTGGCCAGTCAGCGCGCCCCCGCTCCCCAGCAGCCAGTCCTGGGCACACCTGCCAGTTCTCTTTTGAAATAAACATCTGCTGTTAGCCTCTGGCTAAGCGTCTCCGGGCCGGGTTGGTGCTGACAGGCGGCAGTGGCCAGCACTCGCCCAGGCAGGCGTCCCTCGGGGGCCTGCGCCTGGGCCCAGCTGTGTCTGCCTCAGCACACAGCTGGTGAGACTGCAGGCAGGACCAGTGTCTTACCCCCCACCCCAGCCCCGCTGGTCACTAGAGGAGGTTGTGCCAGCCTCAGGGAGTCCTGCTCCGACACCCGAGCCCCTGCGCCCGAGAGCTCCCGTGGCCCCTCTTCCCAGTGCCCTTGCGTCCCCCAAGCCACGGGCATCACATCACCCCCTGTAAACCTTACCTAGTGGGTGGGACTTAGCTAGGAACTCCTATGCCCTAACAGGGCACTTGCTATTCTGCACCCACCCTCAGTGTCAGGGGCGCCCTCTGAGCGCAGGGGACACAGCAGCAGGCGGCGAGGTGCACCCTGTGTGCTGGTGGCCTGGAAGAGGCAGGTGCTCCTCAGGGCAAGATGTACACAGGGAGGTGCTGGGGACAGCCTGGGCCTGCGGGCAGGGCATCCTCCAGGTCCTGCCCCAGTGTTTTCTGCAGTGCAGTCACCCACCTGCCCGCTGGCTAAGCTTAGCTTGGAGTCAAGCCTTGGAGCAAGGCCTGGCTGCAGATCCCCTGCTCTTGCCCAGCCCATGAGCACCTGCGGGACTGACTCTTGCCTCTTGCTAGCTTGGGAGGGAGAGAGGAGACGCTGCCTGTTCCCGGCTGCTCCGTCACCTGCGTCTCTAGGTGGCGCAGAGAGACACAGAGACAGGGTCTGGCAGGCAGGAACCAGCCTTGGTCAGGCATAAACACAGAAGGCCATGGGGAGGAGCCTGGCCCACAGGGCGCCTCAGAGTCTGAGCCGAGACACGGGACACCTGGACAGCCTGGGAACCTGGGAGCGCCCCGCCTCAGGCCGCCGGCACCAATCTCAGTTTCCCAGCAGCTGGCCCTGTGCCCTGGGTGGGGCGACCAGGGAGCCCAAGGTGGCGGTCAGTGTCAAGCAGGGGCAGAGGCCCAGGCCAGACAAGGTGGACAGTCTCTGCAGGGGTCCCTGACGCCAGGCAACTCCCAGTCGCCGTGGCTGGCAGCACCCACACTGCCCAGATGCCTGCTGAGGGCCGTGCTGGGGCAAGGGGCCCCACCCCAGTGACCCGGCCACCTCTGAGCCACTTGGTGAGCGGCAGGCTGGGTCTCAGGACATACTTGTCAAAGGAGGTAGAAATGACTGGAAAGAAATGGAGACATGGAAGCCGGGCTGCCTTGCCCCAGAGGGCTGTGCGGGGCCGGAACCCTGGGGCGCTGCTGGGCCAGCCTGGCAGGGCTCACCATCGAGGGCGGGACCCGTCTCTGCAGCTGGGCTTTCAGAACAAGCCTCGCACCCAGAGCGTCTCCACTGGGGAAGGCCTGAGGCCCAGACACGTCCTGTTCCCTGACCAACGTGCTCAGAGGGGTGTGGGAGGCAGGGGCAGTGGCTGAGCGAGTCCCAGCCCACTCGGGTGTCACCTTGCCCATCTGTGAAGCGGGGCGGTGTTCACCATCCTCGAAGACGGGGGGCAGGTGGGATAGGAGTGGAGGGAGAGGGGCACAGGGGAGCTGACGGTCCTCCCCCGATTTCAAGCCCCAGCTGGGCTGCAGAAGCCCCTAGAAGCTGCCGTGGGGTCCCCGCCCAGCTCACTGGAGCTGTCAGAGACCACAGCGGCTCCGGGCTCCCGGCCAAGGTCAGGGCTCCGAGCACCTGTCGCTGGCCCCGCGCCCGCCACCCCGCCCGCTGTTTCCGCATTTCCTCGTTTGCTCTTGTCCGTCGCTGACCCCAGACGCTCCCCCACGGCTGCCCGCCTCGGCCACACCCGGCGTCCGACCAGCGGGCATGCTGCCAGGGCGGGCAGCAGCTGTGGGCACCAGATGGGCCTGAGTCACCACTCCCGCCCCCGGGGAAGGCCGGGCAGACAGGACTCAGAGGTGTCGGCAATCAGAGGGCCCAGCAGCGCGGAAAGAGGAACTGGCCACGGTCTCCCGCAAGGAGGAAGATGTCAGAGCTTCCCCAGCCCCCCTCGACACTGACAGACGCAGGGCCGGCCCCGGGGAGCCCTGCTCCAGGCAGCCCCTGCCCCTGCGTGCTCCCACGGCTCCTCGCCCCGTGCCCTTGCGTGCCCCAAGTCACAGGCATCACGTCACCCCCCTGTAAACCTGGGGACGGGGTGGGGATGGTCAGCACAGGCCCCAGCTCCCCTCTGGGCCTCCCCTTCTGTGAAATGGGGCGAGAGGTGGGGTGGTAAGCAGGGCCCGTGTTGTTGGGGATCATGGGGCTAAAAGCTCAGCCTCTTCCTTGCCGTGCAGGCAGGGTGGGAAGTTCCGAGCAGATGAGGGGCCCAGGGTCACCCTGGGAACCAGACCTGGACCTGGCAGATGGGGCCCAAGTGATTGTCGCTGAGACCAGGCCCTTCCGCCCACCCCGTGGCCTTTAAGGCCGAGGGTCATTCCCGAGGCAGGACGCTTCCAGCCCAGCACTTGGCCTGCGCAGCCCGCTCCTGCCTCCCAGGCAGCCCTCGGCCCAGGGAACAGGCAGCCGAGGCCTCCCCGCTGGCCCGGCCCGCCCCTCGAGCAGGTGCCCAGCAACTCTGCCTTCCCGCTCTCCACGCCCTCCCCAGTGGGCTCCCCCACCCCCGAGAAGGCCAGTGTCCCTCCCGGCTCCCCAGAGACCAAAGGCGGCCTTCACGAGCGTGGCCTCCCCAAGACGCAAGCCTGGCTGCGACGATGGCTTCCCATTTTATTAGTTTGGGACCAAGGTCGTCCTGCACTGCACCCTGCTCACTTCTGGCCTGGACCTGCCTCCGTGGGGGTCAGGGGCATCTGTAGGGAACCCCCGAGACCCTCCAGGAGTACTTGGAAAGTCAGTTTACGCAGCTGGGAAGCCCCACCCCACTTCTCAGCCAGCTTGCGCCCTCAGGCCCACGGTCCCAGGTGTGCTCCTGCCTGGCCAGACTGCCTGGGGCCAGACCCTGCCCCTCCTCCAGGGTGACTGGGAGGGGGCGGCCTGGCTAAGAAGCAGCCCTTAAACATCCCCCCAGAGCTCGTCCCACTGCTGGTGGGCTTGCCTGCAAGGCCTGCTCCTCCAGGAGGGGGGCTGAAGGGGGGTTCCCTGGGGAGACAAAGCGAGCTCTGTGCCTCTTGAACCCAGCCGCCCAGTTCTGCTGGGTCCACGTGTCCCCGGAACAGAAGCAGCACGCGCGAGAGGGCCGCGGGCGCCTGGCGTGGCCCTTCTGCACCCACTTGTGCGAGGCAGGCTGAGGCCTAGAAACGCTCCACAGCCCAGCCCCCAAGCCCCAGCTAGTGAGTTCAGTGGCGGGAAGCAGCCCCCAAGGGGAAAGAGGGAGGCCCGAGGGAGGCTCAGAAACAGGGGCCTGCAGGGAGCCTCTCTGGACACTCCTCTCCCCCTGGGCCCAGGTGCCAGGCCAGGCCTACTGTGGGCAGCAGGGCACGGAGCCCGGGAGGGGCCAGCGTCCTGCTCTGCCTCCCTGCTGTTGCCCATGGGGAAGCACACTGCCCCGGCCTGGCCACTGGCCTGGACCCCTCTTCAAATGTGGGGGCCGCACGCCTGCTGCCCCGCGCCAGCAGGAAAGACCATCTGCCACCACCGTTTACGTTCAAGGGACGCAGGACTGAGGTGAGGGAGTGGCCCGCGCCCCCCCAGGCTGGCCTCGGGCCTGGCCTGGGCTCTGCTTCCTCCCACAGTGTCTGCAAGGCTGGATTCGGGGTGCACAGAGCGGCTGAGGCAGGTTGACCGCAGCCCCATGCTGACGGTTCTAGGCCAGGCCCGGGTCAGACCCCTGCCCCTCAGCCAGCACCAGGTGCCCCAGGCGCAGGTGCAGAGTAGCTGCAGGCCCTGGACCCCTGACCGCAGGGGACAGCTGAGTCAGGGCCTCACCACGCGCCCCCGCACAATGCCGGGTCCACCTGTATCCAGAACTCCCGGGGAGTGTGGGAGCCCACAAGGCCTCCCTGCCCACGCCACCCTGCTGACCCAGCGTCTCCGGGGTCCCTGGCACTCTGCCCCAAATGCTCTGGCTCCTGGCCTGTGGACCAGCAAGAGGCAAGGCTGGGTGTGGCCCCAGGAGCAGGAACCTGCCCGCAGCCCCTCCCCCAGCGGGGAGCCTCACGGTGGAATTTTCCATGGCAGTGATTTCCGCAGGGAGGCCGTGGCCGACTTGCTGGCCCCGGCTGGGCTCGGCCTCCTCGGCACCTGCTAATTGGCGCTACTGTTCTATTTCTGCTCCAGGCCCAAATGAGGTCACCCACAGGGTGTCGCCTGCGGTGAGCCAGCGCGGGGAGCAGGCCCAGCTGCTGCTCCCTGCCCGGAGCTCCGGGAAACACGCGCTGAGATGTCTGAGTGGACAGACTCCCAGGGCTTGGGGCCACGGTGCCCACGTCGGGGGGGCCTGAGCGGGCCGGGCAGCTCCTGGCTGAGCTGGCTTTGGGTGTCCTCCGCCACCCGGGGCAGGCCCAGGCCAGCACAGAAGCCCGTCCTCGGGGCCTCCAGCGTGCCGGGCCACAGCCTTGCAGCTGCCGCTGGCTTCCAGGCTTCCAGCGTAAAAACTGCCAGCGACACGCTTACACCTGTCTGTCCGTCCCACGTGCCCACCCAGCACGGGGCCTCTGGGGGCATCGTCCAGGGGCCATCTTGTTCTTGGGCTGGTCGACCCCCCACGGAGGCTGGTCTCTAATCAACGTACAAGTCACACCATTTACAGCTGTTTGGCTTCAGCTGGTTTTGGACTCGGCGCTCGTCCACTTGCTGAGGGCCTGCAGCGGCTTGTCCACTGTGCTAAGGGCCTGTTGCTGCTGTGTCCGTCCCACAGAGGGTGCGCCCCACCTCCAAGCAGGCCGCAGCGCCCCCGGCTGGGCCCAGGCCTGGCCCTCCTGCCTGCTCCCTCCCTGGGCCGAGTCAGGTGGGCCTGGCTCCTGGGCCTTGGCTAGTTCTTTTGTTTTTTAATTGATCTCAAATATAAAAAGGCAAATAAACCCACCAAGAAGAGCGACCAGCCTTCCCGCAGTCTCAAAATCGGTTTGTAGCTCCTCCTGCGCGGCGGTCACCTCCACGTGTCCCAGCAGCCCGGGCACAGGCTGGTCTCCCTGCCCCACTGTCCCACCCCACACACTAGGGTGGGTAAAGGCCTCCTGCTGGGTCATGGCTGACACGTGGACGGGGGCCTCCCAGGGCACCGTTCCCCCAAGCCTCCAAAGCAGGACGCAGCAGCCCCCCACCGAAGAGAGACAGGACCGCGGGCCAAGCCAGCGGTGCATGCCTCCCACAGCCTCCCTGCAGGGCCAGGTCCCCTGCCCTGGCAACCTCAGAGGCTCCGCACTGGGATGCTCTGTCTGGCCATCGCCCCTCCAGCCGCAGGGGCCAGGAGACGGGGTACGCCCCTCCCCCCCGAGCTGCCCCAGATTCACCCAACAGGAATAGGTCTCTGCCCCACGAGAACAACACCCCGGGCACCGCAGACCAGCCTGCTCCCCAGCTGGAGAGGCAACCCAGAATGTGGCACCCCTACAGCCAGCAGTGGAGGCAGCCCTGGGAGTCCTGCGGGCCACGGGCAGGGTCCACGCCAAACCCCAGCCAGGCTTGGGCCTCCCGGGGGTGGCACAGCCCACGGCTCCCAGGTGTGCCAGCAGCCTGACAGGGCCCCTTCATGTCATCGGGGCTAACCCCACCTGACCGGCCCTGCCAGCTGGAGCCACTGCCCCTGAGGACCTCCCTCCACTGTGCAGGGCCCAGGGCCGTCCCACCTGGGCAGGTGAGGCCTCTGGCCTCCAGCAGTGCTTCTGGGTGGGGCAGCATGTCCTCCTACAAGAGCAGGACAGGCCCTTGTGTCCGGAGGATGGAACACCGGGTCCTGGGGTGGGGTGTGGGCAGGGCCCGCTGAGGGCACAGGTTGCAGCTTGTGCATCTCTGGTCTTACGCTGCAGCCCCTGCGCCCCCTGTGCCTGGCTGTATGATGTGAGCCGTCAGGTTGGCTCTTGGCCTCCATCTTTCCACCTGTGAAAGGGGCAAGCGATGCCCGCGCCCGGCTGTTTGTGGCCACCCACGCGGGGGGGACCGAGGGAGCCAGCCATGCCGGGACCTGTCAGAGGCTCTCCTCGTGGAAGGCGGAGGGCGGCATCCCTGGCAGCTGGGCAGGCGCCCTCCCACCCCACCCGGCAGCGTTCTGACGTCAAGTCGCGCAGCTGACTTCCTGGGCAGGAAGCCGGGGGAGTTGAGGGGGGCCATCCAGCCAACCAGGCCAGGGAAAGTAGGCCAGAGGCCACGGAGAGGCCGGGGCCTGCGGCGCTCTGTGGGCAGGAAGGGCCTCTGGGCACGGATGACCCAGGGGGGCGGGTGGGTATTGGGTGGCTAGACTGTGGCCTAGACAGCACCTTGGGGTCCAGGCAGACCGGGGTGGGCACAGCGCAGGGCAGTGGTGCCAGCTCACACAAGTTGGCCAGGCCACGGGAGGCCTCCAGCCAGCAGACTGGACCCAGAGGGGAGCAGGTGGCAGGGAGGGCCTGACTGATCGGGGCTCCAGGCCGCTGGACCGTGTTCGTGCCGACCTGGCAGCCCGGCAAGTCCAGGTGCTGTGGAGGACTGGGCCAGCTGTGTGCACCAGGCTGGCGGCAGCCGGGCACCCCAGCCTCTGCAGCACCGCAGGTGGCAGCAAGGCCGGGCACAGGGCAGCCCGGGGGAAGCCCCACCAGGGAGCTGCCAGGGCGTGTGGCGACACCGAGGATTAGGCCAGGAGAGGTTTCCAAGGAAGACACATGGGAAGGGCACCGTGGCCAGAGACCGGCCAGGCAGTCTGGCCGGGCAGAGTGTGAGGTGGCCAGGGGGCCCCGGGGAGCAGGGCACACAGAGGCTGTCGTCCCGGGGCCCCTGGAAGGCTCGGGTTGGCCTTTGCTACTTCCAGCGGGCCCCAGGCAGGCCCGGCCCGGCCCCCCGCAGAGGAGAGCGGTGGCCTCTTTCTTCCGGCACCCCAGGGCCGGACCCCGCCCAGCCCTGTCCCCCGACCCGGCTGCAGGAAGCCTGTGTCCTAGAAACAGCGTGCGCTTCCCGGCCCTCTCCCGGGACACGAGGGCGCGGGCCTGAGGCGGCCCCCAGCAGAGCCCAGGGCTACAGGCCTCCCTGGGCAGGGGCCCCCGCGCTGTCGCGAGGTGCTGAGTCCCAGGGGTTCCTTTCCTGGGTTCTGGTTCACAGAGGCGGGCGGGACCCCAGGGCACGCGCCGGCAGGTCTGGCTCCTCCGAGGCCTTGGCCGTGGCCCGCGGGGGCTGCCTTCTTGCCGCCTCTGCGGTCACTGCACCCGCGGGCTCCTGTCCAGCTGCCCTCTGCTGGAAGGCCCTTAATTCGAGGGGGTAGGGCTCCCCCATTTAGCCTCATTGTAACTTGTAAGAACTTCAAATTCAGGCACATTCTGAAGTCCTGGGGTCGGGGCTCCAACGTGCGACTTTTAGGGGCCCCAAATTCAGCCCTCACGGCCCCAGACGCCGGCCGCGGACAGCGGCCCGCAGGACGGTGAGGGCGGCTGAGCTCGGCCCTGACCGGCGTCGTGGAGGGAAAGGCGGGTGCGCCCCGGGCCCCCCGCTGCCGCGGGCGGCGTGAGCGGATCTGGCGGCGGCTTCGTGGCGGGTCAGCAGCGGGCGAGCGAGAGGGACGCGCGGGAGCCTCCCGGGCCCACCCGCCTGTGCCCCCCGGCGCCCCGACTGCCCAGCAGCGGGGCCTCCCCGGCCCGGCCTCCCGCTCAAGGCCGCCCAGGCCTCCTGCGCCCCGGCAGACGGCGGGAGGGGAGGCCGGGGAGGCCGGGAGGCGCGCCCAGGGTGGAGCAGCCCCCGGCCCGGCCCGGCCCGGCCCGCCCCGCCTCACCGGCCCGGGCCCGGAGCAGCGGCTCGCGGCACGGGGGCTGAGACACGACGGCCCCCCAGGCCAGGCCCACCCTGCGCCGGGGCAGGAGGCCCGCGGGGCGCGGGGCCGGGCGGGGGGCCGGGCGGGCTGGGCCTCCGCGGGTGCCCGGCGCGGCCACACGGCTCTGGCCTCGCTGCCGAGTCCCGGCGCCTGGACCGGCCTGGGGGTCCCCAGCTCCCGGGGACGCGGGGACGCGGGCTCTCCACGCCCGGGGGGCCCGGCCTGGGGGTGCAGCCCGCGCCCCGCGCTGGGCTCCGCGCTGGGGGCAGCCGAGGGGCGCGGCCGGGGGCGCCCAGGGCCGGGTGGCTCCCGAGGCTGCGTCCGGCCGGGGAGGCGCCGCCCCGGGCCGTGGGGGGACCAGGCAGGCCCCGCCCCCCGGGGCGCCCCGAGCCCCGCGAGCAGGACCCGCGCCCCCCGCGCCCGCCCCGGGGTCCCCGCCCCCCCCGCCCCTCCGAGCGGCCCCTTCCCCGCGCTTCCGGCGGCCCCGCGGGTGCCCCGAACCCCGCGCCGCGCCCCCCCGCCGGGCCCCCCCTCACCCCCCGACTCCCCCGCCCCCGCGTACGGGGTGACGCAGCCGCCGCCGCGCGCCCGCCCCGCCCCGCGCCCGACGCCGCCGCCGCGACCGGCTCCGGGGCCGCTAACGGTCCCGCGCCCCGCGCCCCGCGCCCCGCGCCCCGCCCCGGCCCCCCCAGCCCCCCCGCCCCCCGCCGGCCCCGCCATGGGGGCGGCCGAGCCGCTGCGCGCCGCGCTGTGGGTGAAGCGCCGCCGCTGCGCCGTGAGCCTGGAGCCCCCGGACCCCCGGACCCCGCGCGCGCGCTGCTGCGCTGGTGGCCGAGCCCGGGGCCCGCGGGCGGCGCGGACGGCGCGGGTGAGTGGCGGGGGGCGCGGGGTCCCCTCACCCCAGGCGCGCGCCCCACCGCCCTGCGGCCCAGGCCGGAGCCGCCGCGGGCGCGGGGACCCCTGGGAGTCGGGGCGGCGGGGAAGGTCGCTGGGGGAGGGGGAGACACCCCGCCCCGCAGGCGCAGGGGGGCGGGGGGCTGCAGGCTCGGGCCCGCGTGGGGGGGGCCGCGCCCTGGGGTGGGGGTCAGGGTGGCCTGGGCCGGCGCGTGGGGCTTGGCGGTACCGCAGCCCGGCCGGTGCTGTGACCCAGCGCCCGCTCCCCCAGCCCGTCCCCTTTGGGGGGCCACCCCGGGGTGCCGCGCGCAGCTGCCAGGGAGAATAGCCAGGCCAGGAGGTGGCGCTGGCCGGGCTGGCACGGGGGCTCCGCGCTGCTCTTGCCCGGGGGGGGGGGGGTGGGTGGCCTTCCCGGAGACCAGGGAGACCGGCGCCGCCGGGAGGGGTCCTGGGGGCCGCCAGCAGGTCAGAGGCCACTCCCTGCCGCGGTCTCCCTGTCAGCCTCCCGGCGGGTGACGCGCTCCACCCCGGACGCCTCTGCGGGCACCGCCGGCCTCTGCGTCACGCTCGCCCAGGAGGGCTCATGCCCGCCGGGCAGCTGCGCCGGGATGCGACCAGGGAAGAGGCCGAGCCCGGGAGCTTCCGTCACTGCCCCCGCAGGGGGTGGAGCTTGGTGGGTCCATCTCCAGCCGCCGGGTCGGGCAGCGTTGCCTCCTGCAGGCCCGAGGGGCTGCGTGGACGCTGGACAGACCCACCGGCCAGCTGGGGAGGCCACCGCTTCTGATTCCCGGTCGCCGACCACGTAGGAGGCCGCAGCGCGGCTGGGCTGGCCTCTGGCTCTCGCTGGCTGCCGGTGTCCGGCGGGGGCCCTGTCACCCCAGCCTTGAAGGGGCTTTAGTGGAGCCTCCCTGGGCCTGCTGACTGGCGGAGGGCAGTGCGGGAGCCTGCTGGGGCGCCTCCGCCCGAGAGCGGCCGCCGGGCCTCCATGCTCTCTGGGTAGCATGGGGGGACACCGCTGCACCCCAGGCAGCCAGGCCCGATGCCGGGTGCACTGTGGCTGGAGGGGGCTGGGCCAAGGGCTGCTGAGAAGGCCTGGGAAGGGTGGGGAAGGCGGCCGGGTGCATGGGCGGGTGAGGCGTGGCCCCTGGGTCCCCGCTGTCTGGGCAAAGTCATACCTGTTCTCCGCCGTGAGACCTGCAAGCGTGAGCCCATAGCTGGCGAGGCGGGTGAGGTGCCGGGCAGGCTGCACCCCAGCCAGGCCCCCTCCTCCCTCGGCGGCCCACACGTGCCGGGGCTCAGCCTGCAGGAGTGAGGGGGAGCACGTGTGTGCACGTGTGCGGCGGACAGTGAGTTCCGTGTGCAGGACACTGCCGGGTTTAGCAAGCGTGTCACCGTTCCAGCGACACTTCCAAGTCACAGGCGGCTCCAAGGTTGTTCCTTTCTACTCACAGGAATAATTCTTTTTTTTTTTTTGTTTGGCATTGAAGGACTGGGGTGCAGGCCAGGGATGCGGGGGGGTGAGAGGATCCACCAGAGGCAGAGCGGGGAGCAGAGCAGGCGGATCCACTGAAATCCACCGCGGAGGGGCGCAGCGGGGAGACAGGAGGGTCTGCCCCGCCCTGTGGGCAGCTCCCTGGCAGGGATCGAGCTCAGGCCGTAGGGGTGACAGCCTGAAACTCAACCCCTCGGCCCCCGGGAGGCCCTCACAGAAGCAGTTGGTGTTGATTTAATCGAATTGAGAAACACAGGAAAGGCACGGGAAGCCGAGCCCAGCCTTCCACCGTGTACAGGCGTGAGGAGGTTGGGGAGACACACCCCGCTTCCCTGTTGCTCTGAGACAGGCCTTGGGAAGTGGGCGGGTGGAGGCGTGACCCCGGGACTCAGCCCCCGCCTCGCTCACCCACCAGCCTGACCCGGGGGCCTGTGAAGGGCCTGGAGGGGGACCCGTCTGTGTCCTGCCTCCTGGTCTCGCTCCGGTTTGGGGCCTGCTCACCGCGTGTCCGCGGTGCCTTCCTGGGCCAGTGACGTCGCCCCGTGGGCCGGCGCCCGCCCGGAGCCTGCCGCAGGGCTGCCCGGGAGGGTCCTGCAGCGCCTGGTCTGCGCAGACCCCGGGGTGGGGTGGGGCGTGTCAGCGGCGCTGCAGGCACCTGGCTGAAGGCGGTGAAAGCGCCTCAGAACGGAATCAGACGGACTCGGGATTTTTCAGGTTAAAAATTATTTTTTGCAGAGTGTCGGGGAGCGTGCCGGCTCGCAGCGGGAGACGTCCCCGGGTCGTGTGGCCGCAGAAGCTTCTCGCGTGTGATGCCCTGGCGAGGGTGCCGAGGGCGCTGCGGCCGGCCGCGTCGGGGGGTGGAGGAGCCGGGCCAGGCAGGGTCCCCCGCCCACCGGGCCTGGCTGCTGGCGGCCGCTCCGCCTGGGCCCCGTCTTGGACTTCGGTGAAGCTCTGCCGCTCGCCGTGACTCCCCCCACTTTGGCTGTGGGTCCCCTTCTCTCTGCTTCTGGTCTCTGCCTCGTCGCCCCAGCGGCCCCTGGGGCGGAATCGGCGTCTGGCCGGGGTCGCGGTCCCCTCCTCCCGCCGTCCGTGAGCCTGGCCGCGCCGAGCGTGGTGAGGGGACGAGTGTGGGGCGCCGGGCGCGTCCGGGCCCCTTGCCAGGGCCTGCGGGTGACTCCTGTGCCTGCCCCGCCCTGCCCGGCCCCCTGGCGCGCGGCGGGCTCCTGTGCCGCTGGGGAAGGAGCGCTGTGCTCTCTCAGGCTTGCGCCCCGGGGTGGCTGGAAGCTGGGTAGTTTGTGGCGGGGCCCTAAATGCTGCCTGATCCAGACACCAATCCCACCAATGCTGGAGGGCTGAGCGTCGGGGGCCCGGCTGCTGGGGTGCGCCCTGTCTGTGCCCGTTACGAAGCCGGGGCTGCGCGGCCGCCCTGCCCGCCGGCCAGCTGGCACCCATGTTCGTGTGCGCTTGTCGCAGGACGCCTGGCCAGTCCCGCTCCGGGGCTCAGGAGAGGGGACCCCGGGTTTGCGCCCCAGTCGCCACAGCAGTGGGCGGTCGGGCGGTGCTCGTCAGGTGGCTGGCAGCGTGGCCGCGCACCGGCCTAGGGACTGTAAACGTTCCAGATCGTTCCAAGGTTAATTACTGGTTCCTCTAAAGTAGGTCAGCAAACTTTCTTAAAGGGCCAGGCGGAGACTGGCCTGGGCCTGAGGGCCGCGCCTGCCCAGCCCCCCTGCGAGGCCGGGAGCGGCCTCCGGCGGGGGTCACCGCGGTGGGGGGCTGCGTGCAGCGCCAGCTCAGCTCACAAAGCAGCTGTGGCCACACCGGCTGCGGCGTCCCTACCCTCCCCCCCACGCTAGAGCTCCGTGAAGGCGTAGCAGAGTCGTGCGCTGTAAAAGCAGCCGGTCCAGATGGTTAAAGATACTTTGACCTTCAGAACAAACCTAGCCGGTGCCCCGGAAGGTGGTTGCTGCCATCCCGGGAGCCCCGCGTCGGGCTCTCTCCCGGGCACCCGGCGCAGGAAGCCGGCTCGCAGGGCGGCTGTGCACCTGCTCCTCCGCGCAGCGGGCGCCGGAGCTGGCCTTGGGCCGGGCTCCCCCCTGCAGCCGTCTCGGAGCCGTCGGCCCGCGTCAGCCGAGCCTGGACGACTGCAGCGGGGGAGCAGTGCGGGTGCTGTGCCGCGGCCCGGGCGGAGGCCGGGGGAGGCCGGACCCCAAAGGTCGGTGCGCAGCGCTGGTGAGCGGGACGTGGCGCCCGCCCTGCCCTGCGCTGAGACCCGCCTCCCTTGCTCCGTGGGCTCTGCTTGATCCCGGGTTGCTAAGCACGGCCGGCCCGGCAGCTCCCTCGGGGCCTTGTCCCCAGCACCGGCCTCCGGGCTGGCATGGTGGACAAAGGCGCCGCGGGGCGGGCAGTGTGGCTGTGCTGGGGTCAGGCGGGGCGGCAGCTGCCGCCCCAGAGGGGCCCGGCGTGTTCGGGGGTTTGCCTCCACCCCCGGCCCCTGGGAAGCCGCCCGTGTTCAGGGCAGCTCTGCGGTCTCCCGCCTCTCGGGGCCGGCCCGCAGGACACCTCCACCGGCCTCCAGTCTCACACGCAGGGCGGGCGGGAAGCCACGCGAGGCTGACGCGGGGAGCAGCCGGAGGCGAACACGTCCACAGCCCCGGGTCAGGCGTGGCGAGGGGCCGCCCAGGGGCCCTGCAGGCCTGGCCTGCCCTGCCCGGCATGGTGGTGGCTGTCCCGCCCGGCGTGGTGGGCTCAGGCCGTGCACGCATGGACGCCTCTCCCCGCGGGCACATGCGGGGTGGCCTCATGTTACCCGCAGAGGCCCCTGGTGGCCCCCCTGTGCCCCGGGAGCCGGCTGAGGGGAGGGCGCTGGTGCCTGGAGGCTGGTGGGTCTCGTGGTCTGGGGGGCCCTTGGCCCCCCGGGAGGTCGGGGCACGATGTGGTGTGAGCGTGGAGCAGGCTCCGGGGAGCAGGTGGCGGGGGGCCGGATGCACAGGCAGTGCCCGGACCCTCCCACGGCTGCGGCCCCCAGACATGTCGTGGGGGATGTTGCGCTTCCCTAGCTCGAGTCTGAGCCCCGCAGGCAGCGTGGCCTGTGGCTCTAGCGCATGGACAGGCTGGGCGGGGGCAGCGCCTGACCGGGCGAGCGCTGTCTACACAGACGCCTGCTCAGTGCCCGTGTCTGAGATCATCACCGTGGAGGAGACGGACAGGCATGGCTGGCGGCGCGGCGGCAAGAGGTGGCAGCGGATGGGAACCCCGTACGCCTTCACAGGTGACCCCCGGCCTGCCCCACGGGGGCTCGCAGAGGGGCTTCGGGGCCACCTGCGTCCAGGGTGGGCCTTTCCAGAAACCGCCCTCTGCTGCTTCCCCCAGTTCTGCTTTCACGGCTGGTCGTTTGGGGCTTGGTCGTTTCCTCTGCTTGGGGGGCAGCCCTGGGAGGCGGGGTCTTCTAACGCACCCCGGGAACAGCAGCTGGGAGCCCCGCGGGCGGGCGCCTGCGTCGGGCCTGTGCTGATCGGACGTGGCTCCCCACAGTGCACTGCGTGAAGAGGGCGCGGCAGCACCGCTGGAAGTGGGCCCAGGTGACCTTCTGCTGTGCCGAGGAGCAGCTGTGCCAGCTGTGGCTGCAGACCCTGCGGGAGCTGCTGGACAAGCTGAGTACGTGCGGCCGCGCTCCGCCCCCTCCCGTGCGGCCTGCGCCCGGGCCGCCGCCCCGCCTGTCTCCCTCAGGGGTGGCTCTGGAGGCTCAGAGTCCGGGGGACGGTTCTCGGCCGTAGGCGCCTCCCTGCGGCTTTGAGTAGTTCATGACACTTGTTTCGGGACGGGTCAGCGTCTGCTCGGACTGAGCAAAACAGAAACGAGGACATCAATGCGGGGAGAACGCGCGTGGCCAGGGCCTGCGCTGGTGCCCCAGGGCGCTGGGGAGCTGGGAGCCGACCCTTCCGCCCTCGCCCGCGGGGTCCAGCTGCCCCGCCCTCGGCGAGGGGCCGTCACCGCTCCCTGCGTGGGGAGGGCACGCGTTAGCACTGCGCTGTGTCCACGGCCCCTGCCCAGGTGGTGCCGGCGGCCGCGCTCCCGCCCGCCCGCCTTGACCTCGGGTTACGTCCGCTGCCCTTGACACGCGCTCGCTCGCTCTCGCCCTTGCAGCGTCCAGGCCCAGGCGCCTGCTGGTGTTCATCAACCCCCGGGGCGGGAAGGGCAGAGGCAAGCGCATCTACGAGCGGAAGGTGGCGCCCCTGTTTGCGCTGGCCGCCGTCAGCACGGAGGTGATCGGTGAGGGCGTCTGCCAGCCGGGGGCAGCGGGTTGGGCGTGGCGCGGAGATACCCAGGGGGTTTTACCCGCAGGAAGGTTTTTAAGCCAAATACAGGGCGTTTGTTTTTCCACCAAGCCCGCCCGAGAAGAGCAAGAGAAGGATTCAGTCTTTTCTAGCCAAGTCTTAGCGTAGACGGTCTCCAAGGAAACAGCCAGGAAACGAAAAGGCAGAGATGGCGGGAGAAGCCCTCGCGGGAAGAGACACGAGGGCTGACTAGGACTTAGAGGTCGTCCCGTCAACAGGCGCTGTCGCCGCAGAGGGTGCGCGTGCACCCGCGTCCCGGGCCGGCCTGCAGGGGCCTCGGGCAGCCTCCCCAGGGAGCCCGGCCTCGCGGCTCCAGAGGGGCGGCCCCTCCCGGTCCCCCGCGTCTCCCTGGGGAGGCAGCCCGAGGCGCACAGGGTGACGCTCGCCGCCGCCCACCGCCGCTCTCGCCCGGCAGACGCGGGAGCCCCTGCACCCACAGTCAGGAGCGGGAGGCGGCCGCCCTCCGGGGCTCCCGGGCTGTCCCCGCGGCCCCTGCGGTGGGGGCGGAAGGGCACAGCGCCGCGTTTCTGCAGCGCCCGCTCGGGGCAACCGTGGCTCTGTGGCTCCTGCCGCGGCCGCGAGCTCCCACTTTTGTTTACATTTTGTTGTTTTCTCAAGTGCTCGAGGCGACCAGGCCGTAAGGAAAGGCTGTAAAAGCTGCCCCGGCCCAAAAAGCCGCCAATGGCCGGCAGCTCAGTCCCACCACGCGGTGGCTTTGCGGCCCGGCCGAGGGGTCAAGTGGGGGTGGGGGGGCCCTCATGGGAACCCCCTGAAGACCGCGGCCGCCTCGCCACTAAGCGAGGACTCTCAGGGCCGACCCAGCTCTACAGCTGGACCTTGTCCCCCCAGTCACCGACCGCGCCAACCACGCGAAGGAGATGCTGGACGAGGTCAGCCTGGACAGCTACGACGGGTGAGTCGCGGGCTCTGCTCCGGGGGCGAGCTCGGGCCCAGCGTCCCCGCGGCATCTCCACGCCGTGAAAGGAAACACACTCTTGTGGACCGTGAGGGGCAGCGAGTCGGGGAGTCACGCGCGCCGCCTCCTCAGGGATGACCTTCCCGTGGGAAATAGCCGCGTGCTCAGGTGGTCACTTCCGAGTCCTTCAAACCCGCGGTGCAAGCGCCACCCCCTCTCGGCCCTAAGTATTTCAACATGTTTCCCCAAAACAAGGCCGTTCTCCTGGGAGACAGACAAGGCCTGGGCCAGAGCCACCCGACGGACCCCGGGGGCGGCTCTGGGGTTAGCCCTGGTTAGCCGCAGGAGGACTGCAGTCTCCCCGCCGCGAGTGGCCTCCAGCACGTGACCACAGCGCTGGGCTCCCGGGAGAGGAGAGGCCCTGGAGGGCGGGAGGGCAGGTCCAGAGCGGCGGGCTGGGGACGCGAGGCCCGCTGAGCGGGGAGGGCAGGGACGGCTGCGGGGTCCAGCTGCGGGCAGAGGAGCAGGGCCCGGTCTCCGCGTGCTGGGGACTGAACACCCCGGCAGGGCCCGGGCCAGAAAGGGGGACGCGTGGAGGGGCCGGGATTGGGGGCAGCGCAGCCCCTGGTGTGGCCACGGTGGGCCGTGTTGGGTCAGGAGCGGCGGCCACTGACGAGGCGGCCAGCGCGTGGGAGCAGGTGGGGCCTCACCGCGCTCCCTCCGCAGGGTCGTCTGCGTGGGCGGGGACGGCATGTTCAGCGAGGTCTTGCACGGCCTGATCGGCAGAACGCAGAGGAGCGCGGGCGTGGACCAGAACCACCCGCGGGCCTCGCTGGTGCCCAGCCCGCTCCGCATCGGCATCATCCCCGCCGGTAGGCCCCCCAGCGCTGCGCGAGCCGCCCCGGAAGCCCCGGCCCGCCGGGTGATGTGACACGCGGGGCTCTCTCCGCCTCAGGGTCCACGGACTGCGTGTGCTACTCCACGGTGGGCACCATTGACGTGGAGACGTCGGCTCTGCACATCATCGTGGGTGGGTCCCGCGTGGGGTCCCCCCGGAGGGCGGCCCAGTCCTGGGGAGCAGCCCCTGCCCCGTGCCGGGGGCCCGTCCCGAGGTCCCTGTCTCGGTGTTCCCCGTCCCGCCCGTGCACTCCGTCCACACTCGGCCCGGGCGGCGGCAGAGGCGGTGCCGCGGGCGGGCGTGGACGTGCGCCTCTCCGCAGGGGACTCGCTGTCCATGGACGTCTGCTCGGTGCACCACAACGGCTCGCTGCTGCGCTACTCGGCGTCCCTGCTGGGCTACGGCTTCTACGGGGACATCATCAAGGACAGCGAGAAGAACCGCTGGATGGGGCTGGCCAGATACGACTTCTCAGGTGCTCCGGGGGCCGCCGGGTGGGCACGCAGGGCCCCGGGCGGGGCGGGGGAGGGGCGGCCGGGCGCCCCGCAGCCTCCCTCCCGCAGGCCCTTCGCCCCACACGTGGGCTTGCTCGGCTGCCCCCAGGACGGCCGCGACGCCCCCGCCCCGCGCTCTGTTCCAGGCTTGAAGACCTTCCTCTCTCACCACTGCTACGAGGGCTCCGTGGCCTTCCTGCCCGCCCGGCACACGGTGGGGTCTCCGCGGGACGGGAAGCCCTGCCGGGCGGGGTGAGTCTGCGGCGCTGTGTCCCCAGGGCAGTGCCGGGGTCCGCGCTCAGCGGCTGAGGTCTGTGGGGGCTCGGGGACTCTCGGGCGCCCCCCCGCCACGATGAGTCTGTGGGGCTCGGAGGGGACCCGAGGGGCCGGGCGTCAGCTCGAGGCCACCTTGTCCGCTCGGGTGAGGGTGGCGTGGCGACGGGAGGCTGGGATGTTCTCTGAAGCCCTGTCCCCGCCCCGCTGGAGCCCCTGCCCAGTTAGCCCTAGCTCCGCGTGGGCGCTCCCTCAGCTTTGAAGGCCCAGCCGCTTCCCCGTGCACCCCGCAGAGGGGGCAGGACAGCCGGGCGGGGGTGCCGAGGAGAGGGGTGCCCAGCGGGAGCCTGGGGGCCACGGTCTCCCTCCACCGTCCTCTGCTGCGGGGGCCCGGGGTGACAGGCCGCAGCCCCCCTCAGTGCCCCGCGCCCAGTACGCGGGACAGGAACCCAAGATGGCCTTGGGACGCGCCATCCAGGGCCACCGGCCCAGGCTGTGGCTTGTCCCCGGCAGTGCCGGGCGCCTCCCTGGTTCCTCTTCCGCGTGAAGATGGAGGCCCTGGGCTCAGACGCTCAGGGCCGAGGTGGGCACTTGCTGCCGCGCGGGCTGGGCTGGGCTGGGGCTGCCCGGCGGGACCCCCTCCCCCCCCCCCAGTGTCCATCGCTGTTCCTCGGCGGCAGGGGGTCTCCGCTGACCCACCCGGCCCCGGGGCGTCCTCGCTAGCCCGACTCCGGGCTCAGGCAGGGCTTCCGCGCGCTCTGCACCAGCGGGCCTGACCGTGCGCGTCGCTCGGAGCGCAGAGGAGATGCTCGGTGCGCGCGTCTGTGAGAGCCGGCCCGCCGCGGCCAGGGACCGAGCTGCCTCCTGGCGCAGGGGTCTCGCCCTCGGGCCGCCATGGTCAGGGGCCTCTTGCCTTCCAGGTGCTTCGTCTGCAGGCAGAGCAGGCAGCAGCTGGAGGAGGAGCAGAAGAAGTCGCTGTACGGCCTGGAGAACGCGGGTCAGTCCCCGGGCCCCTCCCCCTGATCCCCATGCCCAGGGCTCGCCCGGCCCCCAGACCGGCCGCCCCACGCTCAGGAGCCACCAGTGGAGGCCGCTGGCCAGGCCGTGGGGCGGGGCGGGTGGAGGGGCGGTGCCGTCCCCCGAGCCAAGGCCGAGGCGCTCCCGCCCGGTGTCTGGTGGGGGGGGTCGCAGGCTCAGAGCCACGTCCAGGCCGGCGGCGGCGCAGCCCAGGGGGAGCCGCGTGTGTGGACCCGGCGTGGGCTCCCCGGCGCGCCCTCGGCCGCAGGCGCCGCCCTCCTCCGGGTGGTCTCTCGGGCCGAGCCCACGGCCACCGAGGAGCAGGCGGGGCCGATGTGACGCGTCTGGGCCGCAGCCCGGGGTCCCCGGCGGGGGGTGGCGGCGGTCCCCTCGCCCCGCTGACGGGGTCTGCGCTGCAGAGGAGGAGGAGGAGTGGAAGGTGGTCTGCGGGAAGTTCCTGGCCATCAACGCCACCAACATGTGCTGCGCGTGCCCCCGCTGCCCCCGCGGCCTGTCCCCCTGCGCCCACCTGGGAGACGGGTCGGCGGACCTCATCCTCACCCGGGAGTGCTCCCGGCTCAGCTTCCTGCGCTTCCTCATCCGGCACAGCAGCCCGCGGGACCAGGTGGGCCCACCCCGGCGGGGCTGCTCCGCGGGGCGTCCCCGGGGCGTGAGCGGAGGCGCGTGCCCCAGCCCGCTCCCGGCCTTGCGCACGGCCTCGCGGCACCGGCAGGCGCCCGGCCCCGGCCCCCGGCCCCCCCACCACCTCCCAGAGCCCCTCCCCTTGCACGCCTGCCCGTGGGGACACAGTCCCGGAGCACAGGGGCCCCGAGGCCTCGCGTCCTCCGTCTCCGTCGCTCTCGTATAAACCCCCGGCGGGACAGTTTCTTTCCTCACGCAGCCAGGCCGGAGGGCCCCGGCTCCCGAACGCCTCTACCAGGCGCCCGCCGCGGAGCCGGACAGCCCAGCCGCCGCCCGGCCGCGGTCTTAGAAAAATTTGGGTTTTCTGCCTTCAGCTGAAGGCGCGGTCGGGGGGCTGCGTGGCGCTGCAGAGCGCGCTCGGGGGCGTGGCGGCCCTGGGCGCCGCTCGTGGACGGGCTCGGGCCAGTCGAGCTGGTCCCGGGCCGTCCCGTGCTGCTGCCGGGGCCGCGGGGACAGGCGCCCCCAGCTCAGCCCTCCCGCACCCCTCGTCCCCCGCAGTTCGACTTCGCCTTCGTGGAGGTGCACCGCGTGCGGAAGTTCCAGTTCACGTCCAGGCCGCTGCCCGAGGAGGACGGCAGCAGCCACTTCCGGGAGCGGGGCAAGACGCGGCTCGGGCAGATCTGCAGCGACCCCGCGCCCTGCTGCCGCGCCGCGGCCCACAGCTCCTGGAACTGCGACGGGGAGGTGCTGGACGGCGCCACCCTGGAGGTCAGGTGAGCGGCGCCGCGGCTGCGGGCGACACGCGTCACTCGGGGCACGCCCAGGGCCGCCGCTTCTCTGGTCCCGAAGCCCCTCGGCCCGCGCCCCGACGTTCCAGGCGGTGTCGGCCCCGCTCCCGCCCCCCAGGCGGAGGGACTGTGGGAGGCACCTGGCTCTGGCTGGCGTCCGGCCTACGGGTCCTGCACGCCGAGCATCTAGTGTCCGGGCGGCAGCGGGAGGACGCCCTGTCCCCGCCGCCCCGACACTCCCTCTGGTCCCGCCTGTCGTCACGCTACTCGTCCTCTCCCTGCCGCCAAGGACGCTTGCCTCCTGGCCCTGTGCGCCCCCTCAGCATGCCCCCCGCCCCCGCTCCAGGCGTCTACCCTCCGCCCTGCGCCCGCCGCTTCCTGCTTAGCACAATCGGGGCGGCAGTGACGGCCACCGAGGCCAGTGGCGCAGAAGCCCAATAGTTCATCTGCCCCGTAGCGTGTCCCGCACCCCTCACAGTCATGGGGGTCCCGCACAGACGCCTCCGTGTGCTCCCGCTGCTGGGGCGGCAGAGCGCATCCAGGCGGCTTTCTCCGCTCGCGGCGACGGGGTGCTGGGCGGAGAACGGGTCTGCTGAGGCCCGCGGGGCCGCCAGCCCCTAAACAAAGCAGCCCCTGAGGTGCCGAGCGCTGGCCACTGCCCCTCTGCCGTGACCGCCGCGGGCCGGGCGCCTGGGACACGCGGGCCTAACCGCGCCCCTTGCTCTGGGCAGGGTCCACTGCCAGCTGGTTCGCCTCTTTGCGCGAGGAATCGAGGAGCCTCAGAAGCCAGAGCCGCAGAGCTGAGCCGCCCCGCGCCGGGCCCGCGAGCTCCTTACGGCGCGACCGGTTGTGCTGACATACACCTTTGAATTCAGACGTCTATTTTTGATAGCTGGATCTTATTTTAGAGAAAAACTCCCTTGTCCACACTTGGGTGAGCAAACGCGGCGTCTCCAGGCCCGGGAGTCGCCGGGCCTTTCGCTGGCTTGTTCTCGGCAGGGGGCGCGTTTATTTTGGGGTGCTGGCCTCTTAGATTATAACGACGCCGACAGCACGGATTTCCGAGTGGCCCGGGGGGCTCGTGCAGCAGCGCAGGGACGGCACCTAGCGCGGGGCCAGGCTGCGCCACCCGGCGGGCGGGGTCAGGCCGACAGCTCCGCGGGCGCCCAGTCCTTGGCCTGTTCCGGGAGCGCTGGGTCCTCCGCCTTCGCTCAACCGTCACCCCGATTTACCTTGAGGGCATTGCCGCTCGGTCCGTCCGGCATCTGCAGCACAGCAGCCTGCTCATGGCGCTGGAGCGCGCGGAAGCCCTCGGCCGCGAGCCTCAGCCGGCACCGAGGGTCTGAGACCGTCCGCGGGCAGCGGGGTGGGGCCTGGGCCTGCACGCTGGCAGCTTGGCCCACGTGGCTGGAGTTTACTGTCGAAGCCGATGCCCGCAGCGGTGGGCGCCCGGCCCACAGGGACCCCTTGGCAGCAGCCTGTGAGTTGGTGGGCGCGCTCCGGCCAGTCCCCACACAGGCCCAGGCGTCCCTGCTGGCCGGCGCGGACTCTGGACTTGCTGGCTCTGCCCTTCGCAGCCACAGCCGCGGCGCCCTCCTGCCCGTGTCCCTTCGCTTTCCGCGGGAGGGGGGGCTGCACCCGGGCCTCCGCGGCGCTGTCCTGCTGTGCCTGCTTCGACGGCTTCCGGCAGCTTTCCCAGAGCTGAGAAGCTCCTCCTCGGCGGGCAGGGGCGGCGGGGCTTCAGCATTTGTCAGGCCTAGTCCTGAAAAGCTAGGATTTGCTCATAGCGGTTCCTGTTATGACGTATTCATGAAATTCCTTATTTATCATTCAGTCCCACCTGGGGCAGAGACGGGCAGTTTTTAATCGTTATTTGGGCTGCTGTGCCAGTTGTAGGGCTTAATGGTAGGTAGCTGGAGGGAAAGTGGGTGCAGAGAAGAGCCCACATGGGGCCTCTGTTCTGTTTGCTCCTGGCGGGGCAGGGCCGGGGTCCGTGGGGGCTGCTTCTGGAGCCTTCCTGCAGCCTGCACCCCTGGGATGTTTCTGGAGTCAGCCAGGAACCCCCTGCAGCCTCGGGAAGCAGCTGGCGCCACAGGGAGCCTGGCCCTGGGGCTCGGCTGGCAGGCGGCGCTGCTGGGGCCGGGGGCTCCTGGGACCCTGAGTAGTGGCCGACGACCCCCACAAGGCCCCGGCGCATGGAGGGATCAACCGAGACACCAGGACGGGGTTAAGAAACCAGAACGCTGCCGGCTTGTGCCCCCAGCTGCGTAGGAGGGGCCTGAGGCCGTCTGGGGAGCAGGGGCAGGGGCAGGGGCTGGGCCTGCAGGCAGCGGGGGGGTGTGGGGACCATGCTACTGGGGGGAGCGGGCGGCCGGCGGTGCCCTCCACGGGACCCGGTGCCATCTCCTTTCTGATCTTGCTGGATTCAAGATTGGAAAATGGCATATTTGACCTGAGATGTTTGAAAAAACAAGAATAAAGTCACTTTGGGAAGAACGTAGCTTTCATTTTTTACACAGATTCCTGTTACCGCCTCAGCAGGTGCAGCGGGGGAGCAGGCACTGGGCCGGAGGCAACCAGCCCCCACGGCTCCCGCTCCTCCCGGCTCGCTCGGGTGCTGGGGCCGTCTCATGGCCCGGCCCTCCGGCCGTCGGCTGCTCGTCCGCCTTTCCCCACCTCGGGCCCAGGTGCGCCCGCTCGGCTCACCCACCCCTGCTCGCGGCGTCCTCGGGGCGGTGGCCGCGCCCGCGCCAAGCACCGCCTGCTCCAGCGGTCGGGGCCGCACGTGCTGGCCTTGGAGGCCCGCGGTGCAGAGCCGGGTTTACCCTGCAGTGGGGGAGGGGCCGGGGGGGCAGCTGCAGAGTTTAGAGAAGGAGCAAAATGAGTGAAGGCCGAGGCCCCAGCACCTGCACCCGGGCCCAGCTTGACCCCCGCCCCCCAGAGGCCGCCCCGCACTGTGCCCGCGAGCAGGGCTCAGAATAAGCCCCCAGTGCTGCTCTGGCCTGAGGGTTGTGTTGAGCTGAAGACAATTAAGCAGCAAATGCTGGGCCCTGACCGCTCACCTGGAAGCAGCTTGCAGGTCCCCTGGGGGTGCCCCCAGCTGCCTGGACGGAGAATACTCTCAGTCACCACTCGGCCCCCGGAGGGTCGGCGCCCGTGGGCCTCCCCGAGATAGCCCTGACTCCCGCCAGGCCGCCCCACAGAAGCCCCCACAAGCCTGGGCGGCGTCACCCTCAGGACACACCCCTTCCTTGCCCGTCTCCCTGACAGACGTGCCCCTGGGGACGGCAGGTCCGTCCCGTCGGCTGCCCGGGTCTTCACGGGGGTCTTGCCAAGCCCGGTGCAGGGCAGCGCCCCCTACAGGCAGGCCCCTGTGGTGCATCCTGGCTCACTGGCACCCTGAGGCGGGCCTAGGCGCGAGGACACCCCCCCCCTCAGGCGCCGCCTGGTTTGCTCCGCCCTGAGGGCCCCACTGAGGGTTCCCCCGACTGGCTCGTGGTCTTTCTGCGCATTCTGAGGAGCTTGCCCTCGTGACAGTCCCTCAGCACAGGCGTCCCTGAGCCTAGAGCCCCTCAGCAGCCCCCGGCTTTCCCCTCCCCTCAACTTCAGGTTTCTTAAGTCTCCTATTCCAGTCTCTACCATGTACCAGCTGGGTGCCGTGCTGTCGGGGCGCCCACCCATGGCCCGGGCCACCCCCCCAGCAGCTGGCGGGGAGGCGGCGAAGCTCCCCAAGTGCAGGGCCGAGTCCCCCGCCCAAGGTGGGTCTTCCGGGCCCCCCACGGCAGTCCCTTGCCACCAGTAGGCAGTGCAGGGCAGCAGGACGGCCCGGCCACATCCTCCCATCTGTCCACTTCAGTCCATTCCCAAACGCGGCTGGGCAGGGCACACGACACCCAGCTCAGGGCTCCCGAGCAGCCTCCGCGCCCTCTCCCCACACCCTGCCCAGACTGGCACGGGGTGGGGGCTACCAGAGCCCCTCAACGGGGCTTACGTCACTTCCACAGCCGTTGGGGGTCAGCGTGGCCTCAGACAATGAGCACCTCGAGCGCTGGGGCTGGCCAGGAACCCCGCCTGGCCCCTCTCGCCCCCCTACCCCCACCCCGGCTGACCCTGGGCCGGCGCGTGGGCTGTCGGGTAAAGGGGAGCAGGAAGTTTATTTTGGTGAGAAAACCGCAGCCCGGGGCTCAGTCACGAGCGCTGGGGGCGGGGACGTGAGGGGCGCCGGCTCCCGGGCCCGTGTGCCTTCACCGCCGCGTATGTCCAGCTCCTCGGTCGGCCAGGTGGACAACGGATGACGCCACCCAGGAGGCCACAGGCTGGGAGTAGAGCTGGCTCCGGGTCGCGCTCCCGTCTGCTCCCCAAGGGGCCTTGGGGCTTCGGGCAATGCCAGGACCTGCACCCCAAATGCAGCGGGGGCTGCTTCTGCCTCACCTCTGGGCTCCTAACTCACCCCCAGGGGTGACGGCCTGCTCCCCATGGCCACCCAGTCAGGCCCCGGAGGCCTCTCCCTGCCGCCGGCCTCCTGTCTTCTGGCCCCAGGACCGGCCCCGCTCCCAGCCCACGCCCCAGCGCCCCGTGGCTCTCCAGCGCAGCGACCTGGCCCCGGTGGGGGCTGCCCGCCGGGGTGAGCCAGGAAAGCCGAGGGCCCCCGCCTTAGCACAAAGCATTTCAGGTTTATTTAAATAAAAATTATAATTTATACAAGACTTTTCTCTAAACAAACAAGGTTTCTTAAAAAAGTCACGGTCGCCCTCGTCAGCTCTGCGCGCGGTGCGGCCGCGGGGGCTATTTACACGTCCCGGACGCTGAACGCCGGCCATGCCGCCCAGCGCCGCGATCAGGGGCAGAAACCGCGTCTGCCCAGATGGACACGCTCGGTCAAACGCAGGGGCTCACCCGCGGGCGCGGCCTCACTCCCCCCGCAGAGGCCCTGGCTTCCCGGGGACCCGCCAGGGGCCCCCTCCCGCCCCGGGAGGGAGCACGCGCCCGCCCGCGGCCAGTTTCCATCTCCCCGTCCGCTCAGAAGGGCCTCGAACTCAACCACCCGCTCTGCCCGCCCGCCGCGCTCCAGAGGCACAGCACCCCGGGGCCCAGCAGGCCTTGCGCGGGCACGCAGGGAGGGTCCGCTCCCGACCCGGCGTCTTCAAGGGGGTGGGCCCGGAGCCGCCGGCGCCCTCGGGCTGCAGCGGGGGGATGCATGGGCCGCTGGCCGGGGAGCCCCCACCCTGCTCCTCGGGCCCGCGGGGTGACCAGGGCCGGCACCGCCCATCCCTCCCTGAACCAGCAAATGAGAATTAGAGCAAAGGTAAAAATGACGTCTGAAAAATGATACAAAAATAAGAAAAGCAGCCTGCTCTCTGTAAAAAATAGAATCTTCTGTTCGTCAAAAAACGACTTCAGCGACGCCCGTGGGGCTCGGACAAGCCGAGCGGGAGGGCGCCGGGGGGTGCGGGCGGACCCTCCGCAGGGCTCGGCCTGTCCAGGGGGCTCTCGGCGGCCCCTGTGGGAAGACTGCCAGACACCGGGGTGTCTGCCCCAGCCTTGGGGCCCTGCTCAGTCACCCCCAGACCTGCTGGCCTCCCGAGCGTCTCTGCACGGCCCACACGGGCTCGTCGCTGCGTTGTGCACCCACCTGAGCCCCAGGGCCCCCTCACCCCAGGCGGCGCCACCTGCAGGCCCTGTACTTCTGAGTGCCCCCCAAAGCTCGGGGCCCCCAAAGCCCGAGGGGACATTCTGCTGGGCCCCGTACCATGAAGTGTTCAAGAGATGTGCTTCTGCCAACCCCCTCTGCAGCCTGGTCAGCTGCTGGTAGGCCTCCCGGCCGCCGGTCAGGCCGAGGCCGCAGGAGGCTGTGGGGCCTCTGGACGAGCAGCTCCCCGTGACCCTGTCACCGCGTCCTCCCAGGGCTCCAAGCGCTCAGCTATGGCTTTGGTGTGCGGGGCGCCCGTGCAGCAGGGCGGCTGTGCCGCCCCCCTGCCGGCCTCCGAGGACCCTCTGCCCTCCGCCCGACATCCTCACTGCCAGAGGGCCCGCCCCAGGTGTGCCCCGCCCTGCCCTGCCCTGCCCCGCTCCACAGGAGGCGCCCTGCAGAGCAGCGCAGCAGGGCTCATAGCTCATCACCGGGCCCCGCTGCTGCCCATGGCCAAATTGTTAAAAAAAAAAAAAAAAACTCCAGCCGTGCCCAGGAGAGCCCGCACTAGCTGTCGCTGCCCGAGGCCGCCGCCGTGATCTTCATGTACTGGCTGAAGATGGTCTCGAAGGCCTCGTCCCTGTGCACCATGGCGCCAAACACCAGCGGCTGGGGAGACAGGCCAAGAGCTGCAGGCCGGGTCCAGGGCCACCCCCGGCCACTGACGTCCCCTCCCCTGGCCACCCGCCTGGCACTCACCTTCTGGGTGGACGGCGTGGACACAGCGATGCCCATGCCTGACCCGGGCAAGACGGACAGGACCTTGTACTGAAAGACGGCAGGACGCCGGTCACCCGTGCTCTGCGGGTCCCCCACGCCCCAGGGTGTCCTGCCTGTCACAGGGTGAGGGCAGCCGCACAGAGCAGCCCTGCACGTCCCTGCCCCCTCCCCCCGTCCCAGTGGGGACACCCCTGATACACCACCAGAGTCCTCCTCCACAGGAGTCCTGACACGCCAGGCAGCCCCAGACCCACCCACCCGGGCCTGGGTGCACAGGGGAGCAGGTGGGCCTGGCCTCCCTGCTGAGCGTGGGCACCAGCCCCTTCTGGGGACACTGCACCCCTACGTCCACCCTCTGACCACACTGGAGGGAGACTGGCTTGGAAACTTGGGGTACAAACAGCAGTTGTTGCATGGAGGCCGAGCAGGCCAGGCCATGACCACGCTCCATCCCTCCCCCTCTGTGGAGGTACAGGGGCTGATGTGCGGCTGGCCCAGAGAGGAAGTGGGCTCAGGGCAGCGACACCCATGGTGCTGAGGGCTTGGCATGGGCCCTTCTGGAAGGGAGCCCTAATGTGGGCAGGAGTCTCCAGGGGGCAAGGCCCACCTTCTGGATGTCCGTGATGTCCACCAGCCGTATGACCTTGTTCCTCTTGGACGAGCCAGACTTGGAGCTCTCAAAGCACAGGTAACTGCAGGACAGACGGGCGGGAGCTTGAAGACCAAGGGCCCCGGCCGCCCAGGCCCCCGGGGAGAGGGCAGCCCCCGGTGCCAGGGCCCACGACTTCCCCAGGAGGGCGCTGGCCTAACTGATGTCAGCTAGGGCACCTCCGGGGGATGCCCCGGGGGCTCCCACCCATCCTGACCTTGGCTGATGCTGAGGCAGGGGCCCCCCAAGGCTGAGGACAGCCCCCACGGGCCTGCTCAGCACCTCCCACACCAGGGGCGGCCCCCAGCAGGGCTGAGCCACGCTGCACCCCAAGGGGGGCTGAGCACCCAGCACGGCAGCACCCGGCATGCGCACCGCAATCAGAGCACCCGCCACCCTTGGTGGGGCCACCGGGCCGCAAGCAGCCACGCCCGCCCCGCGCTGTGGGGAGACGCCTGGGCGCCGGCGCGGCCCCACTCACTTCTCGGTCACATAGAGCACCCCGTTCCGGATGTAGTCCGTGGGCATCTTCCGGTCCCGGTTGATCAGGCAGCAGCGCCAGCCGTGCTCGCACACTGGGGGCGGGAAGGGCTCAGGCCCACACCCAGGGGCGCCCTCTGACGGGGGCTGGGGCCCACCCACCGGCCGCCCAAGCTGTGCCGACTTCCGGCAGCCCCCGGGAGAGGTGGGGCAAGGGTGGAGCTGCCTGTGGGATCGGAGAGCAGAACCCCGCAGGGGCTGAGCCGCTTTCCAGATGTGGGGGAAGGTTCTGCTGTAAAGCCATCTGAACGTTCTTGCGGACGCTGGGCTCCTCCCCGCACCGCGGCCTCCAGGCCAGGGGCGCTACCTGCCAGCGGGCGCTCGTTCTCCGTCAGGTTGAAGATCTCGTGGAAGTTGCCCTTCTTGGCGCCGTGGAAGCGGCCGGCGTCTTCGTCCTTACTGAGGCCGGCGGGCGCGCTGGACACGTAGCTCCGGGAGGCGGCCGTCTGCAGCTGTGGCGGCACGGGCGTCAGCCTTGCGGGCCGGCGGCTCCCCGGGCGCCCAGAGGGCCCACCTGCACCGCCAACGTGTCCTGGCTCAGGGCGCGGTGCCACGGCCTCCTGCCAGCCTGGGGTACCTCGGCTGCCGCCTGGACTTGCTGCCCAGACCTCGGAGCTGAGGATGGCGGGGGCCAGCTCGCACCCACAGAGCCCCCCGCCAGCAGCGCGGCACCGCCCTTGCTTGTCCGGCTGCCCAGGCCTGAGGTGGGCCTGGCTCACAGCATCTGCGTGCAGATCCGGGGGCTCGGCCGGGTGGGGTGCTCTCCAGCCCAGCCCCTCCGCCCCGCATCATGCGGCTTTGCCTGCGCTGGTAACGCAGAGGCCCCGGCGGGGCTCTCAGCTGTCTCAGCACCGCGGAAAGGCAGGAGGCACTGCCTCGGGGCCCGGCGCGGCCCTGTGGTTGGGGGATGCCATGGAGACGCTCACCCTGCGGGGCACGGCGGTGCTGGAGCGCTCCTTGAGCTGGGGGTCTGTGGGGAGGTTCTTCCAGATGATGTAGGGGGTGTCGTACTTGGCGCGAAGCCGCGGGCAGCGTTTGAAGATGAAGTCGATGAGGAAGAACTTGACTCCGGCATAGAGCCCTGCGGGGGCGGAGAGCCAGTTCCGCGTGCCCCCGAGGGATCCGTGTCATTATGCCCCAGGGCCAGCCCAGGTTTTCCCGGTGAGGGCTCAGGGGGTGCCAGTGACACCCCAAGCCCACGGACACCCGGAGGAAGGCGTGCTGTGCCAGCATGAGGGAGCATGACCGAGTCTCCCCTCTAGTCCTGCAGGGCCGTCCCCGGGGCCTCCTGGCCCCAGCACTCACCCACGGCCAGCCCCACCAGGCGGTAGGGGAAGAAGCAGGAGGTGAGGAAGGCAGCCCACAGGGCGACGTACAGCTTCTGCGTGATCTCCGGCTGCACCCACATGAACAGGCTGGAGAGAGAGGAGGGCTCAGCGGTGCCCGCCCGCCCGCCGCCCGCCTGCAGGGCCCAGGACTCACTTCTTGATCTTCTCCAGGATGTCGGCCATCTTGCCAAAGAGGTTCTGCGTGAGAAGGGGCGGCGTTACGACAGCGCGGGGGCCGGGATCCGGCCGAGAGGGCGACAGGCCAGAGCCGCAGGGCCCGGGCAGCGGGGGGCGCCCCCACCAGACCGAAGGGAGCAAGAGGCCGACAGGCAGGCTAAGTGGGGGCCAGCTGACAGCGGATGGACAGGCCTGAGTTCGGGGTGCTGGGCCCCCGGGGGCTGGAAGAAGCCAGCACGGGCGGCAGTACCTGCGCCTTCTGGGCGACGTCCAGCACCAGCTGGAACTTCTCGGACACGGTCAGGTCTTCCTTGGGCGGCTCCTTCGGTCAGAGAGAGAGTTTCCGCTGACAGAGCGGCACAGAGGCGTCCGGCGACTGCGACTTGACCAGCCGGGGCCGTCCTTGGAGGCCGCACCGGTGTGCGTGGGGGCCACCCCGGCAGATACCCCCTTGGCCCCCGGGGGTGCCGGGTGCCGGGCAGCCCCGCAGGCAGGAGCCGCACACTCGACAGACGACCTCCAAGGCCCCTCACGCCCACCTCAGTCAGGGAAACAGCCCAGGCAGGGGCAGGGCTGGCCATGTCCTGCCTGTGAGGGTCATCCCGCTGGACCCTCCCAGGGCGGCCTCCTGCAGGAAGCCCCGCCCCACCCGGGGCACTCAGGCAGGCACCGGTGCGGCCGCTGGGGGCCCCTGAAGCCGCCAACCGCCCTCCGGCCCACGCTGCCCGGGGCCCCACAGAGGCCAGTCTCCCCTGAACAAGGCCCAGCGTGAACCACTTGTGCTCCCCGGTCTCAGCCACAGTCACTCACCACAGCTGCCCTCAAAGCGGGCACAGCTGCGGGCCATGGGCCGTGGTGGCCAGCCAGGTGGTCTCTGTGCTGCACGCCCGCTGGCCCGGCCGACTACCCCCGCCCGGGACACTGGGGGCTGCAGCGGCCCGGCCTGCCTCCCCTGCAGGAGGGGCCCGGGTGTGGGCAGGTGGGGGGCCGGGCAGCTGGGGCTGCAGTCGGGGCGCCGGCTCTGGGGACTGGCGGCCCTGCCCACAGGACTCACCACCGCCTCGGACACCTCCGGCACGATGCTCCACTGGATCCTCCAGCCCCTGCGGGCAGGAGACAGCTCTCAGGATGGCGGCGCCGGCGGGTGGGGCTGGGGAACCTCAGTCCAGCAGGGAAGGGGTGCCCCACAGTGCCGGCCGAGGGACAGGGGCTGCCCTGGACCAGCAGTGTACCGGGCTCCCAAGGGTGTGCCCTGCCTGGGCTCCCCGGGAGCAGGTCACGGCAGCCACACCTCGGCCAGCTGCGCCAAGTGGCGGCCAGGCCCTCGCCCGTCTAAGCTTTGCCTTTCTACGGAAGAAAGCTTCGCAAGAGCCGCCTCAGGCAGACCCGAGAGGCGTCGAGAAGTTAGGGTGTAAACATGCATTTTGCCACAGCTGGGTGAAGCCGGGAGCAGGAATGCAGGGCCCCCCTCGGGCCTGGGGGAGGCCAAGACCCACTGCTGGGGCATGGGGAACCCTGGGGTTCTGGTTTCCCAGAGTCAGCCCGGCCTCGAGGTCAGGGGGTGCCTGGAGGGCACTGCAGAAGCCCAGGCGAGGCCACGCGAGGCCCAGGTCACCCAGCCTGACCCTAACTCAACCTGCACCCCATGCCAGGCCCGAGACCACAGAGCCCCACAGCTCCTGGCACACCACCCCAGTGGGGACCCCTCCTGCGGCAGCACACCTGGGGGAGCCCCAAGGGTGACCCAGTGCCAGATGCCACCTCCCCTCCTGGGCTGGGCCAGCACGTGACGGTGGGGGGCACAGCCACGGCCCCCACCACCCACCTGGCGATGAGGTAATTGAGGGACAGCCTCAGGATGGCCAGGAACAGGAACATGGGGACGGCCCAGCCGTGCCACACGGCGTTCATGTACACCTGCGGGCCGGGGCGGGGGGTCAGGGCGGCTGCGCCTCCCCTCGGCTCCTGCCAGGCTGCCCGCCAAGGGTCCCAGCCCTGGGTGAACATAGCAGGCCAGGGAAGGGCCACAGGGCTGGGGGGCAGCAGTGTGGGGAGGCCGCTGGGTGGGCAGGGGGCTGCACGCCCCGGAAGCAGGAACAGGGCTGAGCCCCGCAGGGGACCCACTGGCCCGCGCTGGGTCCAAGCCACGCGTGAGCCCCGCACAGTGGGTCAGAGCCCGCGGCCAGGGCCCCTTCGTGGTGGGCCTGCCGCCCAGCACAGAGGCGGGTGAGCTCAGGGTGCGGAGGGGCGGCGAGTAGGTGGATGGTACCCGGGGAGATCTGCGGGTGGTCTTCGCCCCTGGGGGACGCGGCCAGAGCCAGCTGGGTGCCCCGCGCCCCTCACACCAGCCAGCTGGGGCTGCTGGGCTCGGAGAGCACAGGCCGGGGCGCACCCTGGTCCCTGGCCGGCCTGCACACCCGCCCGGCGCGCGTCTCGGCGGGGAGGCTCCCGCCCCAGAGCGCGGCGCCAGGGGCGCTCCTGGCTGGCGGGCGGCAGGCCACCTCGCGGAGGGAGGGGTGGCCCAGGGGCGCGGGCGGCACACTCACGGTGAAGGCGATGGCGGACGTGTAGACGGAGTACCAGTCAGATAAGGCAGAGAGGTTCTTCACGAAGCTGGTGACCGGCTTGGCGCCCCGCTCTGGCACACACGGGCTGCGGTCAGGCAGCCCGGCCCGGTGGGCACGCGCAGGAGCAAAGCCCACCCGAGCCCGGCGCCTGACCACGCGGCCGGCGCTGCCCGGGCCGCCCCCGAGGCCCGCGATGGGGGACCGGGCCCTCTGCCAGGGCGGCCCCGAGGGCGCGGACACCCTTTTGGAAGGAATCCCGTTGCGGGGAGACGGCTGAGCCCCACCCGCCCGCCCGCCCCAGGCTCGGGCCGGCCCGCCCGGTACTCACTCAGTCGCCTCATGTTTTCCGTTAACCTGCGAGAGGGGGCGGCGACGTGTCCACCAGTGCCGGCAGCACGAGGGCAGCACAGGGACCCCGGGGGCGGGAGCCGCACCCCAGCACGGGCCCGCGGCTGCCTCCTGGGAGGAGGAGCGTCTCGTGCGCGCCCCCCCCCCTTTGGGCCCCCCCAGAACCAGACTCGAGGGCGGGGCCCACCCCGGGCACCTGCACACCCTGGGCCGGGGCTGTGGCCCTGAGGGCTCCCCCCAGGAGGAGGCACGGCGGCCTGGGAGTCGCCCAGGGCTGGGCAGGGCGGGCGCTCACGGCGGCCCCACCCACCCACCTCCGGGCGCTGAGGGGCTCCTCCGTCTCCACGGTGCTCTCCTCCGGCTGGAAGCGGAAGTCCTCCACGTACTCCCCGAACTTCTCGTAGAAAAACTTCTGGAAGCGGGAGCAGAGCCCCTGGCTCCGGCGGTCTGTGGGTGAGGCCGAGCCGGGTGAGGACACCGGGGCCGGGAGGGGCACCAGGCGACGCTGGGTGGGCTCAGCCCGACCCACGTCCCTCACGCTCCCGTCATGCCGCCGGCAGTGGGCCCGGGGGCGCGTGGGCAGCCGGGCTGCGCCGACCCCCGCTTCCCGGCCACACTGGTGTGTCTGGGTCTGCCGGCCGGGTGGCAGCGGGGGGCTGGCCAGGGCAGGGCAGGTCTGGCACGGCCTTTGGACAGCCGTGCCCTCAGGACGCAGAGGCGCAGGACTCTGCGGTCTGTCTGCTCTGCCGCCCGCAGGGGGCGCTGTCCAGCCAGTTAGGGAGTGGATGGCACACATGGTCAGCACCAGGACCGGAGGCTGGTGCAGAGGTCAGGGGCGTGGGCAGGGCCTGGAGTGAAGGGTCAGCAGGCCAGCCTGGCTCCTCGGAGAGGCCTCTCACACTGGGTGACTGGTGGGCTGTGGGCCCAGAAGGCCGTCCACGCGGACGCTGGAATTTCAGCCCCACCACCCCCAAGCCACCCCCGGGAGGGCGATGCCGGATGTGGACGGGGACAGAGAGCACGAGTTGGGGCAGGAGGGGCTGGGTCCTGGCTGGGGAGGGCGGCACATCGACCCCGCGCTCGCCTGGTCACGCACAGCGACGGGTGAGACACGGCGGCCCTGCCAGCGGAGCCCGGGCCACCCCCCGCCGCCCCCTGGGGCCTACCTGCTCCGTTGGCTGGCGCCGGCCCTTTCGGGGGCTGCTGAGCCACCTGCTCCTCGGTTCTTACAGAGGGGGGAGGACAAGGGAGACCTGGTGAGTGCTGGGCCCCAAGTCCAGCCCGTGACAGCACGGCCCCGCCAGCTCCCGGGCCACCTGCCCCTCCTCGGTCCTGGCCAGCGCGGAGTGCCCTCGAGACGGGTGTGTGTCCTGGCTGTGAGGGCGCGGCGTCAAGGCCCTTCCTGCCTGCTCGGAACACGGCTCTGGCCGCATGTGGGCTGGGGCCGAGCACGGGGCGGCCGGTGAGGCGCTGCTGCTGGTCTGACAGCTTGTGACAGGGCAAGTCCCCACCCTGGGCGCTGCCAGTCACCTGGCGGGACAGGCAGGCCCGTGGGTGCGCGTGTGCTCCAGCAGAGGCTGGGCCAGCAGGTATCCAGGGCGTCACGCCGGCGACCGGCCCTCCCAAATGGATGTGGGCCCCAGAGCCACGTGCACTCACGGCCAGGGAAGGAACAGGAGCGCCCCAGCCCCGGGTCCTTCGGAGCAGCCCCCGCAGCATGCAGCGGCCACTGGTCAGCCCCGCGGGCAGGGTGTGGCGGTGGGTGGGAAGGTGACCCCGAGCAGGCGCCTGGGCCAGTGCCCCCATGCCTGGTCAGCAAGGGCCACGCCCCCACCCTGGGACTGAGGAGCCCGGTCCAGGGGCAGGCGGCCGCAGCGGTCACCTGGTGCGGGGGGCGGGCTCTGAGCCCTGCCCACCCAGAGGGGAGGCCCAGCGGCTCTCACCTGGCCCGCAGTACCTCCTGGACCTTCTGCTCCAGCTCCGCTCGCCGCTGCCGCTCCCGCTCCAGCTCCTGCCTCAGCATCTCAGCGTTGGTCTCCTCCCGCAGCTTCCGGAGCTCCTCCTCTACGGGGGACCCCAGGTGAGCTCGGGGCGGGGGGCACCCACCACGCCTGGCCCGCTGCTCTCCAGTCCTGCTGGGAGGGGCACCCCACAGGCCAGACCCCACATCGGCAGGACCCAGAGGAGGACGAGGCCTCTGCGCATCTCCCCCAGGGCCGGCGTCTGTCCCTCAGGTCTCTCCCAAGCGGGGTCAGACCTTCCAGACCGGGCCTCCCCTCGGCGGCGCCTCCCCTCCAGCCGCCCAAGCGCCTCTGCTCACACGCAGGGGTCACCGTGCCTGCCCCAGGCCGTTCTGTAGGCGCTGCCTCCACACCCGCTGGCTGGACCCGTCCACCGGCTCGGGGTTCACTCCCAAAGCCCGGCCGCTTGTCCAGTCTGCCCTGCGCACCCAGGCTCAGACCTGACCCACGTGTCTCCAAAACTGATGGTTTTTCCCCAAACACGGCCATGCCGAGCCGTCGCACAACTGCCGCGAGGTGTGGCCAGGCGGACACCCCTCAGCTGGGGCTGCCACCACCCCGCTAGGCCCAGGGAGGGCGCTCAGGGGGGCCGGGAGGGGCAGGCGGGTGTGAGGACTAGCTGCCCGGGCTCCGGCGACGACTGAGCGCTCCTGGGGCTCTCAGAACCCAGGACCAGCCGCCATGCCAGGCCGGGCCCCTGTCTGGGGGGTGGGCCCTGTGCACATTGGGGTGGGGAGGGTCTGGCCTGCAGCACAGGGCACAGGGCTGTGGGGCTTGGGGAGGAGGGAATATCTGTCTGGGGGTGAAGCTGCAGGCTCCAGGGGAGACAGTGCCCAGCACCCCAGGAGGCCTGGCCAGCGAGGACACGGCCCGCTGACTCTGCCCATTCCCACCAGGGTCACCAGGCCCCCCAGCGACCCCGCGCAGACCCTGAGTCGCACGTGCCGAGGGAGGGGAACGGCAGCTGCGCTTCTGGGGCTGTCCTGCCTGACGGCTCCCGCCCTCCCTGCCGCCTGGCCCCGGCAGCCTCCCCCACGGCCCCATGCGAGTGCCCCCAACGGGCAGCAGCCGAACGCTGGCGTCTCTGAACGCCTGACGGACACCCCAGGCCCCTCCTGCAAGCGTGTGTGGACTGTCTGAGCCTCTGCACCTGCCAGGACGGCCTCCCCCCAGGCCATCTCACCCCAGGGCGAGGGCGGATGAGTGGGGAGGGAGCAGAGCGGGCGCCACACCTGCTGGGGGCGTGGCCCCAGGGAAACCCGCCTGCCCCTCCTGAGTGGGAGATGCCCGGGCCCAGAGGAGTGTCGACCTGACTCCCTCGGGTTTGGCTCCTCCTCCAAGTGCCCCCTCCTGCAGCTGGGGACCCCAGCCAGAACCAGCCCGAGCGGGCACTCCAGGGGCTGGCGGGGAGGAGCTCGGTCAGACGGGCACCCCTGTATGGACCCCACGGCCACTGCTTTCTAAGGGGCAAGGCCGGGTGCTCCAGACACAGCACTGTGTGGGCGCATGTCACACGGTGCCACCCCCAGGGGCCGGCCACACCCTGGCCCCCACCACACCTCCCTGCGTCTAGGGGGAGGAAGGGCAGGGCCAACAAGCTGAGTGGTGGCTCCGGGCACCGGGCTCATGGGGGATGCCTGCTTGTGCCCACCCGTAGCGGGGCGCAGCTCCCCGCCACCCTGCTCCTGGAAGCCACGGAGGAAGGAACACGCTCGAGGCTCTTCCTAAACCCGCAAAGCAGAACTCTGGAGCAGGGGCCTCCTGGCACACGGCCCAGCCGCAGTCGAAAATAAGGCCGACGATGACCCCTCAATGAAGCCGGGCCCCGGCAGGCGCACAGCCCGGGAGAGCTGGGGCGTCGCCCAGACAGGGGGGCCGCTCGGGCCCCTTCCTTCAGGGGCTCCCGGCCCCCCTCCACCACCTGGGTCCTTCCAGCAGGGAGACCACGCCCTGCCCAGAGCCACTCTGGGCTCCCGGCTCGCAGGCCGACTCCGGCCACCTGCCCGGTGCCCCTCTGTCAGGGGAGGGCAGGGCCACCAGAATACCCGAGGGCCCCAAGAGCACCCACACCCTTTCAGACACACGACGGCCCCGGGGCGGAAGCGGCAGTGGAGGAGGGACAGGCTCCCCACTGAGGCCAAGGCGCCCCTCCAGCGCTGGGCTCCAGGGGGGCCGGGGAGAGGCGCCTGCAGCGGGGGCCGAGCTCGTCCGTCAACAGGGCGCAGGCGACGGCTACGCTGGCCCTAGCCTGAGAGGGACTCGGCCAGGGACCTGCCAAGGACCTGCCCCTGGGGCCGGGGCCAGAGGGCGGAGGTGAGGACGCATCTCAGGGGAAGGGCAGACCACCTCTCCCCCACAAAGCCTTCGGGAGACAGACAGACCGTGACACCGAAAGGCAAGCGGTCACGTGGGGGCACGTGGGGGCACCGTCCCCTGCACACGCGTGACCTAGAGCCACAGACTGCTCCAGACAACCGTGAGAACGAACGCACGCTTCACACGCGGCGTGTCCGGCAAGCGGCGCCGGGTCCTGACGTCCCGGAGCCCACCAGCAGCAGGGCGGGGCGGGGCGCGCGGGGGTCGGGTCAGCCTGCAGAGGGAGGGGTGCAGGCCTGGCCGCCTGCTGGCCGCCAGCCACAGGACAAGGACCTGCAGGGGGCCCAACAGGAAGGCAGCAAGGGGTTCCTGGGGGCTGGGGGCAACAGCCTGGGGGGGCATCTACGACACTCAAGGGAAATAGTCTGCTGCTGGGACACTGGACTTGTGGCTCTTGTTTTTAAAACGCGACGCGCGCCTGCTGGACTCTCACGGGCGAGAGGAGAGGCTGCTGGGGGCGGGGGGCAGCGATGGGGAGGGCTGGGAGGGCGGGTGGAAGAGGCACCGAGATGGGCTGTTTCTGCGGCTACCCGACTTGCTCAGGATGCAGGAGGCCACAATGCCCCCCACCTTTGCCAGAGCCATGACGGCCACTCCCACGGCAGGAGCGCCCTTGGTACTCGAGGACACCCCGCATCGGGCCAGGCGCCCTGGGCTCCCCAGGGGCTCGCTCCTGCCAGCCCTGCCCCACCTGGGGACGCCCTCGTGGGCCTCTGCGCCCCCCACAGTGCCCAGGGCCCTTTCTCGGGCACCAGCTCAGTGTGGGCACGGTTCTGGGCCGGGGCCTCGCGTAGCCATGACAGTGCGTCAGGCCATGCCCGCCGGTAGGTCAGGCAGCCCCTCGCGCGCAGAGGGTTTGCCTCCCAGTGGGTGTCTCCTCCCAGCCCCGGCCTCAGTGTCTGTGCGTGTCGAGCAGGGAGGACGAGGGGGGAGAGCAGGTCTGCGAGGCCCAGCGGGCCCTTCCCGAGGCTGCTTGTGGGCCAGGTCCCTGCACACAGCGCCCGCCACGGGCCCCCTGCCTCGACCCGCCCGCCGCAGACTGAGCAGAAATGGAACCCCAGACCCCTCGGACCCCTGACTTCTGAGTCAGCTGCTGCAATGCGGCGCCCCAGGGCCCGCAGACGCCGCCTCCCAGGACTCCCTGCGCCCCGGAGCGTCAGCCGCGGGCCGGCTGGTGAGGCAAGGGGGGCTCGTGCCCAGGACAGACGCGGCCCCGCGGTGACATCCCCCCGGCCGCAGCTGCCCCTGCCAAGCCCAGGGCCGCCCGGCCCAGCCGCGCCACCCGGCCGGACTCACGCAGGAAGTGCTTTTCCAGGAGGGCGATCTCCAGGTGGCCTTTGATCTCGTTCAGCCGGTCAGACTCTGTCCGGGTAAAGTCCTGGATCCCCGCAGCCATGACCAGGGAGCCGGGGCCAGCCTGGAGGGAGACATGGGCGGGCACTCAGGAGCCAGGGAGGCCCCGTGCACGCCACCCCCGCTTAGCCCCAGCCCCCAAATCCAGAAGGGCCGCCTTGAAACCACAGATCACCTCGGCCTTGCCAGCCGGTGGCAAGAACACCCCAGAGAGTGAGGAAGACCCAGAGCCCCGTGGGGCCACCTGCAGACACAACGCAGGAACAGACGCCCGGGCATGCCCCGAGCACCGTGGGCCGGAGGCCCGGCCCAGGCCACAGAAGCAGGGGCCTCTGGGCGGCCACGGGCCTGTGACTGCTCAGCTACAGGCCGCAGGGGGCGTGTAGGGTGGGCGCATCCGCCTGCCAGCCTGCGTAGACCTATTCAGACGGGCCCCTGAGGCACGTGAACCCCACTCCGGGCCTGGCCTCGCCTGCAGGGGCCACCAAAGCCACGGCCGCCTCCAAGCTGCGAGGGAGGGCTTGGGTTATGGGCGCCTGCGTGAGGTGTGGCGTCCCGCTGCTGGACACCTTGTGTCACCCCAGGACACTGACTGTGTGCCCTGCGGCAGCCTGCCGGGTCAGTGCTGGGGGGCAGCTGGCCGGGAAGGTGGAGGCAGAGCATGGAGCCTCCATGCTCCTCCCAACGGAGGCCGCGCAGACCCCACCCTTGGCCAGCCCCAGGACCCTGCAGGTGGCAAGGCCCAGTCTGCGCCCGGCGGGGTCCTGGACCCCCGGCTGGTGGTGGGCGCCCTGCAGCCTTCTCCGCACGTCCCGCCAACATCCAGGCTCAGGCTGCGGCCTCAGCATCTTCTCCGCAGAAGCGCGACCACCCAGAGAAAACCAAGGCGGGCGGGGAGGATGGGGCAGGACGAGCCGGCAGGGGCCCGCGCGCAGTTCCGACCCCGCCCGGCCGAGGGGCGGCCAGCACAGAGGGCACCAGGCCCGCGCAAGGGGCCCGGGCCAGGTGCACTCACGGGGTCCCTCAGCTCCTCGCTGTCCCGGGGGGCAGTGCGAGGGATCTTCAGGGGGACTTCGTCTGCGCATTCGGTGTCCGAGGCGGTCGGAGACTCCGCTAGGTCAAGGAAGTCGTCTCTCTTGTGACCTCTGAACCTGATTTTGTCCAGCCTCCTTAGCATGTTCAGCACTGAGCTTCTCTGCTTTACCTTAGCATGACGGTCGGGGTCCCTGCAGGGGAAGAGAGGGTCAGCGTCCCCTCCAGCTCAGGGCGCTGCCCACACAGCTCGGCCCTTGGTGCCGGCCCAGTCACATCCTGCCTGCAGGGAGCAGCCAATCCAGCTTTTCAGGGACACCCCACTCCCCACCGGCCCGGCCTTCCAGGCGAGTCTGCCCTGGTCCCCCGAGGCGGAAGGAAGCCAAGGTTCTCGGCCAGACCTCCCCGGCCGTGCAGCCGGCGGGTGCATGGGTGTGGTGCTGAGGGCCAGAGGGGTGTCTGCTGCTGGCCCAGGCGCACGCCAGCTTCTGCAAAGGCCTCTGCCTCCAGGAACGGGGAGCTCCAGCTTCCCCGAAAGGGTCAATAAACTTAAAGCTCACAGATCAACAAAAAGGGGACCTTAAGCTGATGAAGCCTGGGGGGCGGATCCACGGAGCGGGGGGCAGAGACCGGAGCAACAGAGCTGAGACCTCGTCTGCTCAGGCTCGTGAGGGGACCGGCGAGACTCGAGGCACATGGCCCCTGCAGAGCCAGGGTCCTCACCACGCGACAGTCCCAACAAATTGCAGGGCCAGGGGGTCCAGCCGAGCGGAGACCTCGCGGCCAGAAGACATCACCGCCGCACGGCCCCGAGCCCCCCAGCCCCCCCGCAGGCATGTCCAGGAGCAGATCCAATGCCCGCATGGGCCGTTATCACTGCGGCCAGGAGACCTGGGCGACACCCCCAGACGCCCTCGCGCAGCGCCTCCTGGCTCGGACAGCAGGGTCGGGCCCACTCCCTCCTCAGCCCAGCGGAGGGGCTCGCGCCCGGTCACTGCCGGCAGGAGGACGGGGGCCCAGCGGCGGGCGGGCAGACGCAGCACGCGGAGCACCACGCGGCGGCGAACAAGAGGAGCGAGCGCCGGTCCCGACAGCACGGCAGTCCGCCCTCCCTGGAGGGGAGGACGCGGAACAGGGCGGGGCAGACAGAGCCCCGGGACGGCCCTCGGGAGCACGGGACAGACAGCGCAAAGGGACAGACGCAGAGAGCCAGGCCTGACCCTGGACCCGAGGCTGCCGGGGGGTGGGGGTGGCCCAGGCCGGGGCCCGCGCCAACGGCGCGGAGTTAACAACATCCACGCACAGGGCGGGGAGCCGCACCCCTGCACCAAGCAGCATCACAAGCTTCGGTCGCCTGACGGAGCTGCCAGGACACCCCAGCCCTCGGCGCCCTTCACAGCGACCGAGGGTGAGGGGATGCGGCAGGCGCGGAGCCCTGGGGTCCTCGCTGCCCCGGGCTGTGCGGGGCCTACCCCCCCGGGGGCCTGCTTCCTTTTCGTCAGCCCCAGCAGGCAGATGAGGGGCCACTGGGGGGAGCGGGCGGAGCTCAGTGTCCAGCCTGAGCCGGGGGCCTGGGAGCGAAGGCCGAGCAGTCTCACCTGCGCCCCCAGCCCTGGCTCCCACCGCTGTGGTCACCCCCGCCCCAGCCGGCCCTCCCTCCACCTGCCAGCTCCCGCCTCCAAGCGCCCACCCCTCACTCCCCACAGCCGAGGGGGGCCCACGCCGCAGACACCCTCCCCGGAAGCGGCCCCCCTCGCCGGCCCTGGGCAGAGGCCACTCGGCACAGACCTGCCGCCCTGCTGCCCACCGCACTCAGGGGGACACCCTCATACCTCCACGTGGACGGGGCCTGGACTGTCCCTGCGTGGCACCCAGGCCGGCTCAGAGAGGGCACAGCGCGCCAGGGGCACAGGAGGGCGCTGGGCCGGGCTGGGAGACGGCCGCCTCCGCCCGGGCACTGGGCAGCCGCGTTCCGGCCCTCCGCCGCGGGCCTGAGTCCAGCAGAGCTGGCCCCGGAGCACGCAGCACGCTGCTCTAGAAACCCGCTGAATCGCTCCTGCACACAAAGGCGGCAGTGTCCAGGACGCCGGGCCGGCCAGCCACAAAAGGCTTTATCTCACGCCCTCCCCCCAGCCCGAGACTTAAAACAAAAGTGGTTCCCGGTCTCCAGGCTTGCCGCGGCCCCGGAGGCACGGCTCGGCCCTCCCCGCCGGCCCTCCGCTGCGGCCCAGCTCCGCGCCCAGACCCGCGTCCTGCCTGGCCCTGCCCGGCTTCCGCGGGCGGCTCTGACCCTGGGTAAACAGAGGCCGTTTTCCCACAGCAGGCGCCCCTGTCCCAAACCACACGCCCGGGGACCCAGCTGTTGAGCAAGAGCTGTGCGCCGCCCTCAGCCGCGGCCCGGGCTGGTCCCTGCTGACCGCCTGGCCAGCAGCCGGCCTCTTCCTCTGGGAGGACAGCCCCAAAGCCTCACGGCCGGGTGGCGGGAGGGGCGGCTGAGCGTCCAGAGGCTTTGCAGGGGACACGCGGGCTGGGGGAGGCACCCACCAAGCCCCAGTCTATTCAGCACCCCAGCGGCCCCCACCCCAAGACTCATGGACGAGAGGGGCCTGTCCAGGAGCCTTCTCCCTCGTCCTGGACTTGGGTCTCAGTCTTGCCAGATGGAGATGCAGGGGCCACAAACGCTCCTGGCATAAATACCAGAGGGCGCTGCCAACCTGGCCTTGTACCTGCCCACCTCCCAGGAGCTCCACTCCGGACCATCCACGGCCCGCTGGTCATCTCTGTGGCAGGGGACTCGGCACAGAGAGCAGCATGTCCAGCAGCTGCTGCAGCCCAGGCCTCCCCGGGGCCCTGCATCCCGTGACTCCAGGCTTCACAGCGACCACAGCCGACAGCCGGGTCCGAGCCAGGTCCCCGTCGCTGCTCCCCGCCCCCACCTGCCCTCTGCCCGGCTGGCCACACGGTGCAGGAGTGTGGAGGCCGGAGGCCTCCTGCCCACCACCACCCAGGGCAGCCCCTGCCCGCCCCTCACCCCCGCTGGGCCCGAGGGCCGACACTCCAGGTGTCCCCACCTGAGCGGCTCCTCCGCCAAGCTGACCCGCTGTCGTGCGTCATCCCGTCTGGTTTGGCTCGGAGTCCCGGCTCGGAGTCCCGCCAACACCCTGCTTGGGGCCAGCCCTGCTCACCTGCCGGCACCCGCGGCCAGCACGGCCCATCCTGGGGAGCTCTCGGCAGGCTCCACGGCCGCAGGCCACCACGGCAGGGCTGCACACACGGGGCAGGGGGCGCAGCGTCGGGGCCACGCCAGCCCCACAGCTAGGGAAGCGGGTTCCCTCTCCAGGAGACAGTGATCGCGGCTGGCCTGCCGCAGGGACTCGGCGCTGAGGCCACCAGGGACGCTGTCCTCAAGCCGTGCTGGCCGCCACCCTGGAGTCCACGAAAAGTCATGAGAAATTTAATTCCAAGGCCCCAGCCATCTGGGTGCTTCTCCAGGAGGACGGAAGCCGGACCCCCCAGCACGGCCTCCAGGGCTCTGGGCCCCGCTCAGGCCAGGCCCAAGCCCCTCTGCAGGGGCTGCACCACAGCAGGGAGGGCACGGGTGGCAGGCCGGGGCACAGCAGGTACGGGGTCCACACCAGGGTCCTGGGGGGCACAGCGGGAGGGGGCAGGAGAGCAGGCAGGGTCTTGCTGAGTGGGCACCCCCTCCCGTGTGAACCGGGGTGGTGTCCGTCCCCTTGAGGTGGTTGAGAACATCAGCCGCCCCCTAACCCCTCCCCCCAAGCAGAGGGAGACAGGGACAGCGACGGCGCTGACGGGCCAACGCTCCGGGTGGACTTGCACAAGTGGCCGCCAGGCTCGGATGGTGCTCCCCGGGGGGCGCTCCCCTGGACGGTGCACCGCGGTGACTGCGGGCGAGAGCTCAGTCTGCAGGTGCGACAGGGGTGAGAGGAGACGGCCCGGCCAAGCCTGCATCCCGGTCCCGACAGCCCTGGCCTCTGGGACTCTGCTGGCCACTCGCATGAGCCCAGGTCTTCCCAGCAGCCCCGCTCGGGGCCACACGTCCTCCTGGCCGCACATGAGGCTCGGCCGTGGGTACGGACGGGGTCGCCTCCGCACCCTGGTGCAAAGCACGGCTGGGGGGTCCTCCGTGGGCAGCCCCAGCCCTCCCTGGCACGGCCACATGGGCCTTTCCTGCAGGAAAGCGAGCCCAGCAGGAGCACCCACAGTGCGGGGCCGCGCGGACCTCGCTTTACGAGCAAATCACCCGAACTAAGCGCGCACACGAGACCCTGGCAGGAGCCCGTTCCCAACTCCCTGTCACTCAGGCTGCCGGGACACGGGAGGAGGCAGCCGAGGCAGCTGCAGGAAGCCCCTCGGGTGTCTGGCATGCTGTGGCCTCCCGCCCGGCCCCGGCCACTCCCTGGGAGCGGCCGGGCAGCGCCTGCAGCGGCCGGACCTGGAGTAGGTGCCCTTTGGCCTGTGAGCGGGGCTGCTGCCCAGGGGCGGCAGGGGCCCCTGCGGGCGAGGCCGGGGGGCTGAAGCTCAGGGCCTGGAGGCCGTCCTCACTCAACTCTGCCGTGGATGAAGCGTGGTTTACGCCAAAGTGGGCGTGAGCGTGTGCGTGCGAACGTGTGTGTGCGCGAGTGAGTGCGTGGAGCATGCGCCAGGCTGGGCCGTGGCATCCTTTCCACCCCGGTCCCCAGGAGACACACCGTCCGCACAAGACCCTCAGAGGGCAAAGCCCTGGCCGCGGGGGGCCGGGCAGGCCGGAGCACCCGCCCCCCTCAGCTCGTGCGGGGACAGCGACGGCACGGGAGGCGCCAGGCCGAGGGGGGCGCAGTGGTCACGGGAGGACAAACCCCAGTGATTTCAGGAGCGGAGGGCCCCGGGCGGCGCTCCTGGAACTTCAGTCTGAGGCGGCGGCGGGCACAGGCAGGGTCCCCGTGTGCCGCTGCATTTAGGTACGCCCGGAGAGAACGCAAAAGCGCCATCTGTGAGTCTAACGTGGGTCCACTGAAAACCTCCAGGAAGGTGTCAGGGGACACGAGGTGGGCAGGCAAGGACCACAGGGCCGCGGGCAGGCCAGAGGGCCGTGCACCAGACGCCGGGCAGGCCTGAGCCTGGCTCACAGGGAGGCACCAGAGCCCTGAGCATCACAGGCCTGAGGGGCTGGCAGGACGGCCGGGAGACCAGG